CTAAGGGTATGTACCTCAGTTGGAGGCTCCTTCCTGGGCTTGGGCCCTTGTCAGAGCTCCTGCAGAGGCAACCAACCAATGTGTCTCTCTCACCTTGATGTCTCTTCCTCTCTCTCTTTCCCCATCTCACCTAAAAAATCAAGGGAAAAGATATCCTTGGGTGAGGATTAAAAATTAATTAATTAAATAAAAAATTAAAAGAAAGAAAGTTACTGGTTTTAGCAAATGGAATGTAGTCTTAAGCGACAGGGAATATCAGCTGCGAAATGATCGAAAGGTCAGTTTCCCAGGACAGGGGGTATCGATACAATTACTTGATCAGACCTAACAAGTGGTCTCTTCCCATAGTGTGCTTTCGCGGAAGCTGGGTATTTGGGTATTAAAAAGCACCCAACACAAGGACCTTAACAAAGCATTTCAAATCTCTGCATCATCCTCTGAGAGAGGTCTCTACTAGAGACCTTTGCAGCTCAGAACGGCTCCTTCATAAGACATGATTCTGTAACCTCAGCATCACCTCAGTCTGATTCAGCCTTCTAATCACCATTATCCACACCCTCTTCCAATTTCTTCAAATATGTGAGCAGTCTCCCCACAGAGGTAGGATGTGAGAAAGCTCCCTGGTGGCCACCGGAAGCCCAGCCTGCCCTGCTGATAGTGGGGACCAAAAATATTCTCCTGGCCCCAGGCCTGTGGCTCTTGGGACTGTCCTTGGACAATTGCTGCAAGGTCCTTGGAGCTCAGTGCCTGTGTTCAGAAGGAGGTGCAACCCTCCCCACCTCAGGCACTTTAGAGGCTGCCTCAGCCTAGCCACAATCTGGAAACTTCCACTGCCCCTGCCTCTTCCCACACTGCCTCTCTAGTCCTTGAGACACTAGTGTATAGCCTAATGTTTTCTCCCCTACAGCCCCCCACCCCTTTGGCCTGGGTTCTTTCCATTCCAACCCCAACTTGGAGCATCTTCTGTTCCTTGTCCAGTTCATTCTTTGTCACCCTCACTCACGGCTCTCTCTGTAGCTCCAGAGCTCAAGGCAAAAGCTGCACGTCCTCCCTTCACTGTCTAGTCACTCAGCTCCCTTGGGCTATATATAGCACAGCTGTGCCTTAGATTGTGTAGCGCTTCAAGTCCTAGTCCCCCTTTTCCTCCTCCAACATAGAGAGCCTGCAGGGTAGGGAAGCCCAGCGAGAGGAGGCAAGGGGGAGTCGGAGAGGGACAAGAAAGGGTATGCTGCATTGTGGACCTTCCAGAGCGTGTAACCTTCCATCTGTTATCAGGGACTGGCCGCTTCATTCCCTGCCACTTTCTCCTCTAGAGAAGGAGGAGCAGGCAGTGTGCCGGGAATTCTAACGATCATCTGATTTAACCCTTATTTAATCCTATGGATACCTACTAGCTCTGTCTCACAGAAGATACAGACTCACGGAAATTGAGTGGCAGAAGATCAAGTATTTAGAGGGTGGTCAAACAGCTGACTGACCCCACATCTAACTCCGGCCTACACTCTGGATCCCCTGTCTGTTGGCATCATTCATTCAAAGCCTGGTAAAATAGAATTTCTAACGGTGCGACCTGATCTAGAAGGAAGTTTGCTAAGCAAATTACTCATGTAGAAATGCTGAAACCAAAGTAATTATTAAAGACTTGGCATATTAACAAAAATGTTATCATGGTTTTATCTTATCTGTGTACTAAAGCAGAATGCTCCAGAAATTTGTTCCTTAAAGATTTCTGTGTGTTCTCAGAAACTTTTAAAAATAAAAAGCAGCCCTAACCGGTTTGGCTCAGTGGATAGAGAATCGACCTGAGGACTGAAGGCTCCTGGGTTCATACCAATCAAGGACATGTACAGCCGAGACCGGTTTGGCTCAATGGATAGAGCGTCGGCTTGGGGACTGAAGGGTCCCGGGTTCGATTCCGGTCAAGGGCATATACCTTGGTTGTGGGCATATCCCCAGTAGGAGGTGTGCAAGAGGCGGCTGATTGATGACTCTCATCAATGTTTCTAACTCTCTATCTCTCTCCCTTCCTCTCTGTACAAAATCAATAAAATATATTTTAAAAAAACAAAATAAAGAAAAAGCAACCCTAACCGGTTTTGCTCAGTGGGTAGAGCCTTGGCCTGTGGATTGAAGGGTCCCAGGTTTGATTCCAGTCAAGGGCATATACCTTGGTTGCAGTGATCAATGTTTCTCTCTCATCAATGTTTCTAATTCTCTATCCCTTTCCCTTCCTCTCTGTAAGAAAATCAATTAAAAGTATATAAAATAAAATAAGTAATTTTTTCTTCTATTTCAGGACTTCCCCTCCACTTTACACTCATTCTCCTGTTAGTCCAGAGTAGTGAGATTTGATTTTAGGAATGATGAGAAGTCTGGATTTTTTTCTCACTCACATTTAATACAAGCCTCAGTTTGTTCTTCTGTGAAATGGGAAGAATAATAGTAATAGTACTTACTTCATAGTTATTATAAGGATTAGGTAAAACAATCTACTTAATGCCGTTAGCACACTTTTTGGCTCCTAAGTGCTCAGTAAATCACAGCAACTATTATTATTTTCTCAGTTCTGGGCTGGGATGCTTGTGGAGCATCAAACATGATCTCAACAGGTAGAATGTAAATATCGTAATGTAAATATCTGTTTTCTGATGGTCTTAGGCTATATAGCAGGGGTCCTCCTAAGACCATCGGAAAACACAGACATTTATTACGATTCATTAACAGTAGCAAAGTTACAGTTATGAAGTAGCAACGAAAATAATGTTATGGTTGGGGGTCACCACAACATGAGGAGCTGTATTAAAGGGCCGTGGCATTAGGAAGGTTGAGAACCACTGGCTTGGTCCCTGTTCTCTAAAGGGCTTCGAGTTGATCTTGACTCTTGCCGTCTCATCCAGACATTTCCACCCACCCTCCCCACCTCTGGACAGGGTCCCCCTCCTCTTGAGAATACAGGCCACCATTGGGAGCAGGAAAGGCGCATGGAAGAGTGTGTGAATGCCTGGGAGGAGAGTTCCCATGGACGCTGGGGATATGTGAAGGCTCAGGGGAGTTGCTGTGACCCTGGGTCTCTTCCTAGAGCAGTGAGGGCTGGGGAGAGAAAAAGAGACATCAGCTGCCGGACAAATTTCCAGCGCAGAAAAGCCCCGTTAGGACAGACACACGGGGGCTGAGAGTGATCTAGGGAAGGAACAAAGGCTTGGGATGAAGTGGGACCCTCCAGAGTGCATCCCAATTTCTCTCCATCTGCGTATCCATAAGGTACTTTTTTTTTTTTTTCTAATCAAGGCTGGATGATCAATGAGCATTCCTAAGCTTCAGTATCAATCTGGTGAGGCGTTCACCTTGGCCAGCCTACTGGAAAGCAGAGTAACTGTCCAGGGATACCCACTGGAAAACAATAGAGGTATAGATTTTGGAACCAGCCAGACCTGGGTTCAGATCTCAACGCTGCCATTTACTAGTTGTGTACCCTTGGACAAAGGTACTTAGCTTTGGGGAAGCTCAGTCCCCTGGTCTATAAGCAAACTGCTACTTATCATATAGAATAGTAGAGGTTTGAAATGTAATTACCTAGAACAGAATAGGTATTTCTGTAACCCCCCTGGCAGTATAAAGAGCTCTGGAGATGTGAGGGAAGTCCCCGTTGCTTCAAACTCCTGAACAAATCTCCTTGGTCCAGAAAGCATCTTTGAAGGTATAGAAACCAAGACCTGAGAGCCTGCCTCCCATAATTGGAGCATTATATTTACCTTTCACATTGTTCAGGATACTTGAGGCCATATAACTCAAGGAAGAACCCAGGATCTCTACCCTCCCTGGCCTCTCTATTTCCATCTCTGACACAGCCACCTTATGTCCACGAGAATTAAAATATTAAAGCCAGCTAAGGGCCCTTTTCCATTTGGTCTTTCATTACTCTCCAGTGCCTGGAGTCCATCCTGAAACTCAGCAGATGGGGGGTTAAGACTGGTGCCCTGTCCTATCTCCTCCCCTCTCCACTCCTGGCTCCAAAGTCTCCATAAAGCCCGCTATTGCTTCCCTGACACCGTAGTGGCAGCTTCATCTTCCGCTCTTGGCCAGTTCAAAACAGACACTGAGCTCTGCCTGGCTGCTCACAGTCCACCTTCAGGCCATCTGCTGCGGTAAGCACCAGCATGCTGAAAAGGTTGCTGCTCCTCGGGGAGAGGAGGGAAGGCGAGGTATAGAAGTTGCCTGAAGCAGGGAGTTGTTTCATGATTAGACTTAGGAAGAAGCCCACAGGCAGAACCCCTGGTTTAAGGACCAGGACTCTGGGACTCCATTTAAGTTGTGAGCAGAGCAGGCATTTACAGGTGTTAGCAAGTGGAACAATAGGATCACCAGCCCAGGGATGGAGGCAACGGTTGGTATTTGCAAAGGACATGGTAAGAGTTGGAAATGGGAGCAGCTCAGGGACGAGCATTTGTTCTGTGAGTATTGTCTGAAACTTATGCTCAAGTATACACAAAGCCAGGTCCAATTATTTTAGTCTCCGGCTCTGGTGATTGGTAGCCACCACAGTCTGGGATGGCTCTCGTTCCCTGGGGCCAGATCCTGCTCTGTAGATCCCTCAGGAGTAACTGTCACAAACTCAAGACGAGGGGGGTTTGGGGTGTCCCCAAGGCTCAAGGCCTTTTTGTCCCACCCTCATCTGTGGATTTTTCCAGCTGCTTTTCTTGAACCAAGGATGATACCCACAGGGATGCAGATGGGGGAAGGGGAAGCAGAGAAAACTGAAGTCAGAACGAGCTAGGGAAGAGAGATACTGAGATGGAGAAATGGCGCTAGTGGTCCAGGCATCTGAAACAGGATTTTTTAAAAAGTAGTGGCTGTGTAGGGAATGGTGAGGAGGTCTCAGCAGGCAACTTTCTCCTTTCCACCCCAAACTGAGGAGCACTGGAGTCCTGAGTGTGGGGTGCCTCCTTCTAGGACTGGGCTGAAGCCTGGGGACCCTGCTGCCAACATCTGGGGACAGGATCATGTCTGCTAACAAAGGCTGGTGGGTGCCACCTCAAGGTGAAGACAGCGTGTCTGATAAGTTTCTGAGGAAGACCAGGGAGTCTCCACTGGTGCCTATAGGTGAGTGGGGAAAGGAAGGGATGGGGGCATGAAGAGACCTCTCTTAGAGAACATCTCTCCTGTCCTGCCCACTGAACAATCGTCAGCTAGAAGAGTTACCAGTAGCAGAGGGGGCAGAAGACAAAGGGGCACCACCTTACAATGAAATGAGGGCGTCTGGATGGGTGGAGGTGGCGGCCACCTGAGTGCACGGGGCATAGGGAAACACGTCAGGAGGGGAAGAAGCCGTTTGGGCTCCCTTGTCTTCCTCTGGGCCCTGGGAAAGCAGGAAAGCAGCTGTATCAGATGTGGGAGCCAATGGTGGTTAGAGAAGGGCCCTGAGCAGACTTAATGGGGTGGGGGAGTCCTGATGATGGGCTATTTGCAGGTGGGGAAAGGGAGTCATTGGAGGGAGGCAGCTAGTTGGAAAACACCATCCAGAGGAAAACTCAGTCTAGTAACCCTCCCACCCCCAGCAAAGCAGCTGTTCATCCGATGCCAGTCTTCCCAGTATCTCTTGTTGAGTGATGAACTTGGTAGATGAGGTCCAGAGGTCATGTTCTCTGACTACAGGCCTAGGAGGCTGCCTAGTGGTGGCAGCATACAGGATTTACCGGCTGAAGGCTCGTGGCTCCACCAAGATGTCCATACACCTGATTCATACCCGCGTGGCAGCGCAGGCCTGTGCTGTGGGTGCCATCATGGTAGGTGAGTTCTGGCAGTTAAGAGACCATGATTTCAGGCCCTATTCCCTATACAGGCTCCATACCAAGTCTGTGGTGAAACCCCCAAGCCGAGACATTTTCAGGGTTCCGTTTAATCTCCTGTCCCAGGCCTGTGAGAACAATATGATGTGTCTCATGACAGTTTGTCCAAGAAGCGAGAAAAACCATGCAACAAAGCAGAGGCTGAATTTCTCTCCCTCTTTGGATCAAAAGGCAGACAGCTGTATGACAGTGGACAAATCCCTTTCTCTGATCCTTGGTTTCCCCATGTAACGTAATAACCACCTCCAGCTTGCCTGACAGGTTGCAGAGAGGTTTCTTAGATAGAAATGCACTTGCAACGCTTTGCAAATTGTCAGAAGGGTTGTTCCCCAGGCTGTGTGGTCAGGTGCTTGGAGCAGCTGCTAAGCCCCAGGGCAGAAAGCTGGGCCCTCAAGGGAAGGGCTGGAGCAGACCTCGGAGCTCTGCCGTTGTTACTCCCCTCTGGGGCACCCGGGAATCAGAAGGCTTCGATGCTAAGGGGTATTTTCTTTCTCCCTCACACAGGAGCTGTGTACACCATGTACAGAGACTATATCAAGAGAGCAACACAGGATGCGGGGGAGAAGTAGGTTTCTACAGCAAGGGCAGTCAGACCCTCTCACGTCAACCCCTGGTATGTTCCTAATAAAGGAATTTTGCAGAAAACCAAGTTTCTTCTTTGCCTGGGAGAGAAGATGAAGGGATTGGCAGTGGCTGGTGGGGGAGCTCAGAGCAAAGGGTTGGGGATCAGAGTTGTGGCCTTGAACTTCAGGGCAACAGAAACTCTTAGGGGGGCAGAAAGAGAGGTGCAGTAGACCTCCGATCCCCAACCCTTCCCAACAATTCCCAAGTCAGCTCAGGCCCACCTAGAAAAACATGGTAGACAGGACGCCAGGAATGGAGTGGGGGCATAATTGCGTCCATGCTCACGGAAACACTGGATTAAAAGGCTGCTTTCCTGCCCTGACCTGTTTGGCTCAGTGGATAGAGCATCGAGCCGTGGACTGAAAAATCCCAGGTTCGATTCCAGTGGAGGGCATGCACCTTGGTTGCAGGCTCGATCCCCAGTAGGGACCATGCAGGAGGCAGCTGATCAATGTTTCTTTCTCTTATCGATGTTTCTAACTCTCTATCTCTCTCCCTACTTCTCTGTAAAAAAAAGTCAATAAAAATATATTAAAAAAATAAATAAAAAATAAATAAAAGGCTGCTTCCCTGGAGACCCAGGCAGGAAGTAGGCTGCAGCTGGAAGCAGAGGCAGCGAAGCCTCATGGGAGACGACATAGATTTAGAACCCAAGGGCCAGGACTGGACTGTGCTGGAGGAGAGGGGGTGGAGGGGGGGCGGGGATGAAAGCAACAGAGAAAGGCAGAGGCTAGAATGTTCTGTTCATTTATAAACCATGTCTAAGGTCAGACTTGTAAAAAAAATTCCATGTAAATTCTGAGGACAGGGCCTCCTGGGGTTAAACATTTCATCCCCTCCTCCTTCCCTGAGCCAAACTCCTCTGTTCCCTGGGAATGGAGCCAGGCACAGGCCACAGAAGAAACCAGGAGGCCGAATGGGCCTCCTGCACTGGGCTCTGGGTCGGAGGCTCTTGGGCTGTTCAGGACGGCCACAGCAGCTCCCACACACGCTGACAACATGGAGTCCAAGTCACATGAGGCCCCCGCTTCCAGTCCAGGGTGCAGCCCACTGCAGGGCGCAGGAGCTGCTGGGGTCCTGGCATTCACATGGGGTAATTGAGCACAACATCTTGCTTGGCGAGCTCCAGCAACATAGGATCATCGAAGAACTTGCTGATGCTCACGTCTTCACTCAGGCCCTGCAGAGGATGGGGCAAATGAAAGAATGAGTCCTGTGTGGTGTCTGAATGAGGTGGGGGCCACCTGAGACCTGTGGTTGAGCAGGAAGCTGGTGGTGGTGGGGGATGGACTCTTAGCCAGGCTGTTTCGGAAGCCCAGCCTTTAGGGCTTTGTCACTGGGGAGCAGGTCTGGCTGCCTGAGGCCTGTGCAGACTGCATCTCTATGCGGTTCAGTAAACTGCCTAGTCTTTGGGAGAAAGGTCCAAGAGTAAGAAAGATAAAACTCCTGCTGAAACCCACGGGGGTTGAGGTATGGTGACAGGTCTGAGGGCACACGCACCTTTCTACGACGGGTTTTGATCATGAATTCCCGGGCCAGGTGAGGAGCTGGCTGTGGCTCCAAGGGGCGGATGACAATGCTCTTATCCAGAGGATCCCCAGGAACAATCTGAAAGGCAAAGGGGTTTCAGAGGGTCCAGGCACACCTCTATTTGGATCTGGAAGCAGGACTCTCTTGGAGGAGGTTGGAAAAATCTGTCAGGACTTGGAAGGGAAACAGGTCATAAGGGATTGGCCTTGTACAGGTGGGAGGCCAAGTCGGCCAGCCCGCACCATTTCCTCACCTGCCAATGGTGAAAGACAGACAAGGAAAAGGCCTGCCCCTGGGTGTGAGTCCGCAGGTCAGTCTCAAAGCCAAAGGAGTCGATAGCCGGGATGAAAGCTTTGATGGTGTAGAGAGGGGAGCCTGGAATGGGTGCATCCTGAGTCACGTGCCCCCTGAGACAACACAAAGGCCGAGTCAAAAGCAGAGGAACAATCTGCCCTCAAATCTACCCCAAACCAGGATTACCGTAAAAGAAAGAATGACTGTGAATGCACTGCAGGAGATAGAAGGGGCTGGGGACCCTGTGGAGGCCAAAGCGGCAGCAACCTCTGGACCAGAGTGGGAACGTTGATGCCTAAGGTTTTCTAGATATTCCCACCACAGACACACTGCAGGACTTTCCCCAGGAGCTCTCTGAGGAGGGCTGCCCAAGAAGAAATCTCAAATCTTAATCTGCAGGAAAGCTGGCGACTTCCTCATTCCTATTTTTACTTCCTTCTGAAAAAAATCGGCTCATTGGATTTCAGGAGTGGAGAGTGTGGGAGGCTGGTCCCTCCGTGGTAGCCGAGTGACTTCCTGCTCGTCCTGTGTCCCCCTAACATGCGGGTGCTCACCTGCGCCGGGCCAGGACAGTATACACAGCGGAGACACAATCCGCAGGCGCCTGGACCTCTACGAAGTAGTAAGGCTCCATGAGGCGAGGCGTGGCCTGCAACGGAGTAACAGGGGATCCTCAGCCTGGGGAAGGCGGAGGACTTACCGCCCCGGAGGAGCAGAGCCCCCCTCACTTACCATGAGGAAGGCAGAATAGACAACTCTCCTGGCCGTGGGGATGATCTGGCCCCCGCCCCGGTGCAGGGGCTCTTGGGCAACCACTGCATCTAGGATCTTAAACTTGACATTTCGAATCACTGAAAAGGAGATGGACAGCTGATTAGGGAGTGGCTCACGGCCAAGCAGCAGGAGCCTCTTGTAGCTCTACAGCTATCTTGCGGCCACAAAAGAAAAGTTACAAAACAGCCTACAGATGGGCATTCTGATAGGACACGCCAGGCCTGTAGCGAAGAGCTCAGCAGTCAAGCATACGTTTACAGTGTTTGTTTCACACACTGTAAGTTTCCCTAGAAGTTTATGTGCTTCTTCTGCACACATTTAATTATTTTTTGATAGAGAATAAATTCTAGGAATTGCATATTTATTCCCGTTTCAGTCCAATCCTATTCTTCTTTTGATTCAGCTCCTCAAACTTCTTCCTTCTCAGGAATGAGGAACGAATGTCAACCTTGAAATGACTTCATCTGTAGGCTGTACTAAGTGGTAGCAAAGGATAGGGAGGGAGAGGCAGGAAACAGGCTTGGGACATGGGACGGCCCTGCCAGGTCCCAATGATAAGCCGACCACCTCCCACACAGGAGCAAGGGCCCTACAGGACTGAGGTGGGGGAGGCGGAGACACTGGTAGACTTACACTCATCACAGAGGGGTCCCTCCCTGGTTCCCCACTGGAAACCTTGAACAATGCTGTCCTTCACTGAGCCAAGAAGAGCCTTGTCCACCTGCGCAGAACAGAAGGGTTCTTCAGTAGTGAGCCTGGCAAGAGCCAAAGAGTTTAGAGGGAGGAGAAGGCAGGAACGCTGGTAAGTGGATATTCCCCTTCACCAGAAGACACAACATACGTTCAGGGAAAAAAGAACACTTTGCAGTGTCTTCCACCTGAGCTAACAGACCATCACAAGACTCCCATCAGTTCTGTACCTCAGAGGGCAGGGTGTCATCCACCAGGATGTTGGGGCCAGTGGCATCAGGGCCAAAAGCCCAGATGGAACGGGCAGCCAGCAGATCCCAATCGTACTTGGTTTGGAAGAACTCTCCCAGCTTCTTCCTGGGGAAAGAGGAGACAACGGAGGGCTCAGCCAGCTCTGTGATTGGCTCCTGGGGCCACGGATCCTGCCTCTCTGGAGACAGTCACCCCACCCACCCACACTGCGCCCAGGACAATGGCAGAGCGGGAGAAGTGGGAGAAAAGACCACATCCCAGAAGAAGGTGGGCTATTAGAGACCAGCAGGTAAGTTATGGCGCCCTGCCCTGTCTCCCTTTAGCCCTGGAATGAGCTGTGTTCTCGCCTGTTCCACGTGATCTGGACCACCTCATTCTCGATGTCCTCAGCGAGGCCCTTTTCAAGAGGCTCAGCAATCATGGTGATCTTGTTCCTAGTCAGAGAGGAAATGAGTAACGAGGTGGGTGAGCAGGACTAGCAGAGGGTCATTTCTAAGAAAAGGGTGACAAAGGAACAGATAAGGCAATGACATCAGTGAAAACCACAGGAGTAGAGCCAAAGGAGCTTATTTTTTTTTTTCTCTTTAGAATCTACTTCTCTCTCTCTCTCTTTTAAAAATATATTTTTATTTGTTTCAGAGAGGAAGGGAGAGGGAGAGAGAAACTTCAATGATGATAATCAATGATTGGCTGCCTCCTGTATGCCCCACACCGGGGATGGAGTCCACAACCCGGCCATGTGCCCTTGACCGGAATTGAACCCAGGATCCTTCAGTATGCAGGTTGACGCTCTACCATTGAGCCAAACCAGCTAGGGTGAATCTATCACTCTTTATGAAAGTAAGGTTTGGGGCGGCATTTATATAGAAAGGAGAAGTGACAATTGCAAGTCATCCTGGCATAGTAAGTCTTATGGCAAAGGACTCCATAGGAACATGTCCACAGGCAAATGCATCAGAGGCCTGGGCTAAAACTCAATATGCTAAGCACCCCATTCCAAGCCTGCGGGGTCTCTATTTCCAGTGTTTGTGACTGTGGTGGAGTTGGTGGGGAGGGGAGAGTGTCGGTCCAAGGACACAATGACCCCAGCTTACTTCTTATTGGGTGTTTCAGCAAAGCACTTGAGAGAGGATGTTTCTACCACAGTCTCACAGAAGGTGACAACAGGGTCAGCCACCTGATGGGAAATAAGACAAATTACTAGGCAAGGTCTCATTTTGTTGGAAGGATGACCGCCTGCTAAAGGGGATTCCGAGGGCCCCTTGACATTACCTCTGTGAGAAGCCCCCTTGTTAATCAGCATCAGTGACAAATACAATAGCAGGCTAAGTCACCATCACTAAGAAGCCTTAGTGTAGTGCGGTATCTATGTTCTGGAGTCAAAAATACATGGGATCAAATCCAGTTCTGAATTATGGTGCTCCAAGGCATCCTTCACCATCCATCTAGCCGCCCCTCCATCATTCACTGACACCATTCCCCTGGCAGTCCCTCTACCACCATTCACTGAAATCACCCTGTAGGGTCTGTCAGAGCTGGATCTAGAGACCGCCTGGGGAATATCCCTTCTGTTCTCAACCTGGACTTCTCCCTGCAGCTCCCACTAGCCCTGGCCTGTTCCTGGGAAACCCAGTATCTTATATGGCACCAGCCCTGGGCACACCAGTAGCAGAATCTAAGAGGGGTATTTATTCTAGAGGGTACTCATTCCCATCACCCTACGGCCTTGGAGAAAATGTGTCTCTCAACTGGGACACTGAGGCCATGAAAGGGCAGTTTAACTGAGGGGCTGTGTCAAGGTTTGACAATGAATCCAGGAGAGCCAGGCCCCATTCTCACCTTGAAACCATACATTCTGAGCCTTAATCACCACAGACAAATGAATTGTCCAACTTTTTTTTTTTTTTTTTTTTTTTAAACAAATGACCAAGAATAACTGGCTTGGGAGCACTGACTTTAAACACAGACACTGAGAATAATCCTACAAAAGGGGGCAAACCAGATCTCAAATACCTTCCCATTCAGGGGAGCAACAGATCATGCTTTTCTGAAACCCATCTCTTCTAGTAGGCACCCCTCTTCCCTTGGGCCTTCCAGGGGAACCTAGCATTTAGTTGCTTTAAAATCAGCCTGGTGCTGTGAGCCACGCCTCCCGGCCAGGCAGGCACTCAAGAAAGAACGGGCTGCTCTTTACCTTGATGTCTATCTCCGAGTACATCTTCCGCAAGTCATGCATCACACAGTCCAGGTAGAGCTCCCCGGTCCCCAGAATCACATGCTCGCCAGACTCCTCCACCTGAAACACAACAGCCCTCTGCTCACAGCCTGGACTCTATGGTGCCAGCAACAGCAGACAGAACAGAGTCAAGGCTGGGACCTGGGAGGAGGTGCCTGGATCCACTATCATACACAGCCTCTGCTCCTAGTCGCTTCCAGTCTCTTCAAGAAGGATCAGTGACCTATGAGGAAGTCCCCAAGACCCCGGATCACCCAGGACAGTGCTCCTGGATCTGAGGGGGTGACCAATTTTACTACTATCTTATAAATTTAGGGAAAACCATGCCCTGTGTCTGGGGACATAAGCTGACCTTTTTTTTTTTTTAGAGCTGGCCAATTACAACTACTCAGAAAGGTATGCTGGTAGGCTCGAGAATGTAGAAGGGTCAGAGTGACTCACTTTTTCCTCTCAATTTTCTGGAAAATTAATTCAAAGTGTACTCTATAAGAAACATCTTTCCTATCTATACACTTGTGAAAGCTGCGCGCGCACACACACACACATACACACACACACACACGTCCCCCTCCCCTACCCACAAACATGGGTCTCATCCTGCCTTTAAATGACAGCAACAGGGATTAAGTCCTGATACAGGCTGTTGGAAGCAGCAAATCAGAAGCACCTGATGGACACGTAGCAGTAGGCAGCACAGGCCACTTAGCTGGGGTGAGGAGGGCTGGCAGCTGCAGGCCTCGGGCCTACCTTGGTGGTGAGGGACGGATAGCTCTTGTTGACCTTGCGCAGACCGTCCAGCATCTTGGGCAGCTCTGAGGGGTTGACTGGCTCCACAGCAATCTTGATAACAGATGTGGTGTTGAACTTCAAGGGCCGGAAAATCTGAGCCTGAGATCCAAAATGCAGAGGAGTGAGGGCACCCGGCCTGAGTAGGCGCACAAAGTGTGGACATAGCGAGAACTAAGGACCTAGTAGGAAGAGACTCTTCTCCAATCAAGAGCCTCCGGGCTGCTTGCAGGCAACCTGAAGGGCCATTTATTGCTGTGTATTTTGGCAGAACAGAGAGAAGGGAAAGCATAAAAGGCATTCCTTCTGATTCCTAGCACCTGAGCAGAGGCTCCAGGGGGACTCCGGCAGGGTCAGATCTACAAGGCTGAGCCTGGGCTGAGGCTGGGAACCAGGAGATGGCAGTGACTCTGGGTTACTTCCCTGCTGGCTCTGCTGCTTATCACTCATGTACCGAGGCCTCGTGAGAACCTTTACCTCCTCATTGCCTCGGGGCTCGGTTATGGTTGCCGTCTTCACGATCGGTTGATCAACCCCTTCAATCAGAACCCAGTTGCCAGCAGGAACGCGGTTCACCTCAATGTGGTACCTGGAGCAACAGCCAATAAGCAGTGATGATTGGGCATTTCATAAAGATGTGCCTAGTTCCTGCCGTGTGCCAGGCCCTGAGCAGAACAGATACTTCCTAGCAGGGAGGACAGCAATAAACAATCAGTCACATGACCACACATATATGTAGTTACAAACTGGTAAGCCCATGAAAGGAAAGTACAAGGGACTAAGAGAGGACAAGACAGGAAAACCTAATTCCCGTTGGATGTTGGTGATAAGCAAGCGCTCTCAAAGGCATGGGATGTAGGGAGACGCTGAAAGCACCACAGAACTTAGTGCAGCTGTCCCAGCCCTTCAATGTTCTCCTGCCTCCTAGTGAACAGGGTGGATGTGGAGGAGGGGAAGGGGCCCCGGCGAGGCACAGCGGCCACATGAGGAACAGGACTGCCCAGTTCTGCTTCCTAGCTGGGATGCTACATTTAGGAGCCGGCAAGCTACCCAGAGGCCCAGGCTAAATATTATTCTGCAGGTGAGGACGCTACAAGGAATCCAGCAAAGTCTTCTCTCTCGGTTTAAGAATAATCAGTGGAGGGTGGGAAAGAATTTCTTTTGGGAAGAAACATAACAGTTGTGGCTCAAGAAACACAGAAGAGGAAGAGGGGATTAAGATGAGTAAAAACAGAAATGCTATTACAAAAGTTCATGTAAGCCATCCAGACACAGAGCAAGGCTCTTGGCGTTATCCCAATAATAGCTGCGTTTTGGCCCTAGCAACACTGGGTAGTAAGAACTACAAGGCAATGGATCTGCTGAGGGAGGGGCAGCTTAGCCCCTGCTGGAGGGAGCCAGGCAGCAACGGTGTTTCCTGGGAGGACCACCCCTTGCAGGGGCTTGGGGTAGCTCCAGTATGGCGGACAAGCAGGCCCCTAGAGGCCGCGGTTGGCAGTACCTGGCCACAGAGATCCAAAGGCGGCCCACGGTGCATATCTGGGAGTCTTCCTCATCCTCCAGAGTGTAGTTCTCCCCCAGCACCTTCACCGGCTGCCCAGCATGGATGGTACCGCTTAGCACCCGGCCAAAGGCGTGAAACTGAACTCCGTCATCTGTGCTGTACATCTTGGTCGTGTGGCACATCAGGGGACCCTGGAGGAGGGGACAGAGTGCAGCCTCACCCACACATGCTCGCCAGGTAAGCACCACTGCCTCCACCTCCCCTCCCCGTAGTGCCATGAGCTCCAGGAGGAGGCAGTGCAGGCCTAGATGTGGCGACCTCCTAGGAAAATTCCAATCACGCTTTCCCCCTGCTTATTAATAGGTGTCAAAGGTGTAAGAGAAAAAAACTATTTTCCTCCCCGCCGCCCCTCTGGGAATAGGGAAAAAAAGCAGGTTTAGGATGGCAGATTGGCACTGTTAACTTGCAAGATTATAAAACGAATTTGCGCCCCTAGTTTCCTCCAAAGATGTAACTCACAACTCTCAATTGGCTGAGAGTTTGTGCTGAGAAACTGGACTGCTGACGGAATGGCTGAGAAAGTTTTCTAAAAGCCAGGGCTGACCAGATTAGCAACCACTGTTGAATCTTTAACAACTGGGAGGCACCATAACACTTTCTTAATCTTACTTAATCCTCACAATGACCACACGTATTATTATCCTCATTTCACAGATCAAGACCCTCAGGCTGGGAAAGACTGAAAATGTTGCCAAGATCCTATCATTAGCAGCAGAAACACCAGGCTTTGCATTCAGGTCTGTCTGTGCTCCGGTGCAGGGGCAAGCAGAAAAGGGGGAAGAAGGTATTATTACTCCAGTAATCAGAAAGCACTATCCCTGCCCAAGGAGGGAAGAATCAGAGTCGGGGAGCCACATGCCCTTACATCAGGGTCACAGTCGCTCATGGCCTCGCCGAGGTCGGAGTCCACGCCACCGGTGTAAGTGTGCTCGATCTTGGGCTTGGCGCCCACCTTCGGAGAAGGGATGTGCTGCACACACATGTCCACAAAGCCTGCGGAGGAGAGAAGGCCATTATTCCACACCCTCACGGGGGGGAAGAGGGCGTGAGCGACACTATGATTTTAGGGGAAGTGATACCCTATTTTCTGGGCGTGTGATGCTAGAAGGCTGGAGTCACACTGGTGCCAGGAAGCACAAGCAGCAGCTCTCAGTGATTCCTTGGAACTCAGCTGACAAAGATTTTCCAGTATGGAAAATTTTATTGAATATAAGCACTCACTGCACACTTACACGAAACAGTAAGCACCCCATCTCTTCCCCTTTGGCAAACATTGCACATGTTTCTGTTCAGTAAGTTATCCTGGTTTTCTAACAGTTAATAAGTCATGCAAAAAAGACGCTCCATTAGCACCTTGGGGTAGGCATATCTGCTTTTAGTGGGGTCTCCCATGTTCGACTGAGGGCCAGCCCAGAATGTCTATTCAAATGATGCACTCTGCAGACTCAGACACCTATGTCGCATTAGACTCAGACTCAAGAAATGGCTGAGGGGCCTCTTTGCCATCACCTTCTCCTCTCCTTTATTTTACAGATGAGAAATGAGTCAGAGAATGACTGGCCCCGGGTCATCCTATGGAAGAGCAGGATCAAGACTTAGGTCTTTTATTAACCAGTCCAGGGCCCATTCTCCTATGTCACCTGCCTTTTGTGTAACTAAAATACGGAAGAGACAAGCTCGGGGGAAAGAAAAATCTGAGTCTACAAACTGTCTCCCATGCCCTCCTCCCACTATTGCACATCAGCGACAAGTCCACTCCTAACTGTCCCCGGAAAAAGAACCTCAGTACCTGTTTCCCATTCCCTTTACTTGCACGTTCCTGCTTCCCCATTTCCTTTACTTGCACGTTCCTGCTTCCCCATTTCCTTTACTAGCACGTTCCTCTTGGTAGGGAAATGTAATTGCTTTTGCTTCCCAAGACAGAATTCTTGGTACCACCAACTAAAGAAAGCAGCTAGGAAAACCCAGATGCTCTGTATCCCGACCTTATTTTAAAGCCTCAGGTCTTTTACTCACTGTGGGTTAGGGAAAAGTTCCCATGACACGTGGCAGGACATCATGATAGTAGCATTAAGGGGGCCATGAGCTCTTTATTACCTGTGAATTCGCCAAAGAACTTCTTGCAGACCAGCCTGAGCAGGGGGCGGATGTTCAGCTTTAGCTCCTCCTTAGTCAGGTGGATGCCAAGCTCGTCCAGGGTCCTCGGGAGGCTGGTGTCCACATCCCCCACAACCTGTGACAATACTAGACACATCAGCTGTGGTGACAGCCCCACTGTGTGCCATGGAGGAGAAGGGAAGGCTGATGGGCAGTCTGAGGGGAACTGCACTAGGTTCTTGTCTAAAGGGAGAGCTTTTGGCAAGAACAATGTAGTTTCAAGAAAACCTTTGGTACCAGCCCTTCAAACCAACCCTGGGTGAAGCAGGCTTGATTAAATGCCCACACCGGCCAATAAACCTGGAACTCTCAGATGGATTGTTATCAGTGCTGCCCCCTGGTGTCTGAAAAGCAGCATCTCATCCCACTCAGGCAATCCCTTATCCTCCCCTATTTAGAGACTTCTCAGATTGAGAGATCACTGTGCTGGAAGGAACCAAAAAAGGTCACCTAGCATTCCATCGCTGTCAGGGCAGGCCAAGCTAAACCATCCTCAGCAGACTCAAGGTCTCTACCAGACAGACTCTATAAATTTCTTTTATTAATCCATTCCAGCCTGACACAAGTATTTTTTTTTTTAGCACTAATAAACTTGAATCATGTTATTTTGGTCTTGTTGCTATGTTTTACTATTTTAAAGCTGGAACGACCACACACGTTTTGTGTTTATGCGTGTGTTCACTGTGCACAGTACTTACTCAACACTTGCATATTTTATAACTGTATGAAGTTTCTTGTACAAAATTATTACTTTTAGTTCTGTCTTTTAGGGAGCAAATTCATACAAACATAACATTACACTCTTTTCGCTGGAGCATCCCATGTGTGTAACTGTCTGGTGCCTCCCGTTCAATCTGACAAACATCACACACATGTGCCCAGAGTCATTAGATCCCAGCCCATGCTGCCATTCTTTTAATGGCGGCAAAACACTTCATTTCGTGGGAGGTACCGTAATTCATTTAATAGATTATCACTGAAGAACTTGTCACTGATTTCCACGTTTTAAATCTTTTTCTTACTGTTAAAATAATGCCATAACAAAGAAATATATATATATATATAAATCTCCATAACTGAAACGATACGTTCTCAAGTGTCACGTTCTTTTAAACAGTCAAAATATTTGCACAAATCTGTTTATGCTGTGCCTTTCCTTCCTTTTGTATACTGCCCCTTCACTCTGAATCCAACAGCACTTAGAGGACCAGAGTGTTCCAGAGCCAGGAGACTGGTGACCAGCCATCTGCAGACTCAGTAATACAAAGCTAAGCAGGTCGAGGGGCAGCAAGGAGTCCAAGTTCACCCGAAGGCAGATCTAACCCAGGTGGCCCGACACACTTACCTGAGCGAGTATCTTATACAGGGGCTCCAAGATGAATTCCACGAAGCTCCTTTGTGAGCTGCTGGTTGGGGCCTTTTTGGTGAACTTTCGCCTAAACATTAAAAAAAAAAAAAAAAGTTATGGGTGATCCAGGAAGATGATGATAGTGTCACTGACTTCCAGGGTGTATCTCCCAAATTCTGAGCAAGAAATGTGTGTGTGAAAGCATAACATCTCCAGACTCCTGACGGCATATGGGTATGACTCTCATGAGCGCCTGCACTGAGCTGTAACAGCCTCCACCTGTTAGAGCTCATGAAACCAGCTCCCTTAGAGGAAACATGGTAGCTCACGCCTAAGAGAAAAGTAGGCTTTAATCTTCAGAACTCTGTCCTCTCTACTGGGAAATGGATAAGCCCTCTAGTGTCACTTCCCACACCCTACTTACGTCTTAGGGTTGAAGTAGATGTCACCCCAAAGTCTTTTAGCAAACTCCTGGTAGTTAATGTCACCTATAAGAGAACCATACAATTACAATCTACTTAGCAAAGCAAGCTATTATTCAAAATTTTCTTTCCGGTGCCACAGGTGGTCTGTAGTGAGGAATTCTAGCACCTTTCTTTCCAAGGTCCAGACATGTCCTTCTACCCAGCAGGCAGACAAGGACACACAGACACAAAGGACAAGGCTGGCCCAAAGTTGGCACGGCTATGCTGGAGCCAAATGAGCATCCATCTCCAGCAAGCAGAGCACTGAGCTGCAGACAAGGGTACAGTTTTTCTTCTTCCTTTGATGGAACAGGCTCAACTGCCTATATGTTATCCTCTGTCTGCACCTAAACACCCTCCCTTCCAGAATGGAGCCCAATGGGTCTCGCCTTTCCTCCTGAACCACTGAAGCTCTATTCTGCTGCAAGTGGGGGCAACCTCCCAGCTGCAGGGTCACACTATGGCTCCGACTAGCCCCAAGCCTCCAGAAGGCAGATATCTAGCCCTCTGGAGAGAAAACAACAAAGCCAACCTTTATCTCATCTTTTTAAAAAATATATTTTTATTGATGTCAGAGAGGAAGGGAGAGGGAGAGAGAGATAGAAATCTCAATGATGAGAGAGAATCATTGCTCGAGCCCACAACCTGGGCACGTGCCCTGACTGGGAATTGAACTGTGACCTCCTGGTTCACAGGTTAACGCTGAACCATGGAGCCACATCTTTGTCTCATTTTTTTTTTTTATAATATATTTTATTGATTTTTTACAGAGAGGAAGGGAGAGGGATAGAGAGCTAGAAACATTGATGAGAGAGAAACATCGACCAGCCGCCTGCTGCACTCCCCCCCCCCCCCCCCCCCGGGATGTGCCTGCAAGCAAGGCACATGCCATTGACCGGAATCGAACCTGGGACCCTACAGTCCATAGGCAGACACTCTATCCACTGAGCCAAACTGGTTTCGGCTGCCCATTTTTTTCACAAGAGCAAGCATATGCACACTCAGTGTGAGGCAGGACAGCTGACTGGCGGGAACAGAAACCCTGGCGCTCCAGCACCTGCCAGCTGTGAGACCTCTCACAGAGCCTGTCTCCTCAGCTCTGAAAACAGGATGACAGCCTGGCTGCATGGCTCAGTTGTTTGGAGTGTCATCCGTGCACCGAAAGATCTCAGATTTGATTCCCAGTCAAGGTACATACCCAGGTAGTGGGTTCCACCCACAGTTGGGGCGAGTATGAGAGGCAACTGACTGATGTTTCTCTCTCACACTGATATTTTTCTACCTTCCTTTCTCTAAAAAAAAAAAAATCAAAAAAAAATCAATGGATACATATTTTTGGGTGAGGATTGAAAATAAAATAAAAACAGGGTGATAATGACCCTTCTAACGAAGTACAGAATTTGACACACGACACAGGACATGGTGCCCAGTGGAATCTGAAGGAACTGGGGAGGCACAGAGGCAGAGGAGTGCAGGAGCCTCTTAGATGGGAAGCTATAAAATCATGCAACTGGGCATCCTGGCGGAGAATCGCCCGCACTGATGCATGGCCATGAGTTCTTTTGTAGGTCCACAAAATTTCTACCTGCCTAGGCATGGCTGGAAAGCAGCTAGAACACTACTAATGAGGGAGGCTTCCCCTCCGAGGAAGAGATCTGAAAGGGCCTTGTGAGCGTACATAATTCCTCTAGGAGTCTTTTTCCTAAAGGAGCTCTTTCTTCATTCTTCCCCGTTACCTTCCTTGTTCTATTGTTCGGAAACCACTGAGCCTAAAAGAAAGGGTCTAGGGCCAAAAAGAGCCCGAAATGTGAGAATAACAGTTGACTGAATGCTCCCCCAACAGGGGCCTCTGGCATGACGCCAATCTCTAAACCATTCAGCGGGAAAGGCACACAGGACTCTGGGGAAGCTGGCGAGACAGGCTGCCAGCCAGGGCTTACCGAACGTGTCGGCATAGATCTTGGCAAAGGAGCCCAGTGTGAAGCAGATGCTGTACTGGGAGCTGGAGAAGCAGACGTTGCCCAGGAGCGGGGACAGGATCAGGTTCTCGTCAGTGGAATACATGCTGAAACAGAGACGGTCATGGGTGCACAGCCAGGCTGGCACACACCAACGGCCAAGGGCAGAGACTCAGCTCCACAGCCGCTCTCCAGCCCTTGCCCTCCGATGGCGCTTACATAACACAGTCAGCTTTGCCAGCAGCCTGGTCCAAGAAAGTGACATGATGAAGTTGTCCCCTAACTCACAGTCACAAGCAGACTTCCCAGAGCTGGGAACACTCTGCACGATCTTGGAGAAGTTCACTGCACCGGACAGACAAGGGAAAACTTGGAGGGCAGAGACAAAGGTCTTAGAACACAGGAAATGAGTCTGATGTGATCGGACAGAAACACATTCTGGAGAAATCTCAATCTTACAAACACAGACAGACATAAACACCAGCATAAATGAATGAATGCATGAGTAAAAGAAAAAGTAACTTTGCTCCCCATTCCCACCACCCTAAAGATCTTTCTTCTGTTTTGTTTGGCTTGTTTTATTTTATTTTTAAAATATATTTTTATTGATTTCATAGAGGAAGGGAGAGGGACAGATAGAAACATCAATGATAAGAGAGAATCATTGACTGGCTGCCTCTTGCACGCCCCCCATGTGCCCCTGACTAGAATCGAACCCGGGACCCTTAAGTCTGCAGGCTGATGCTCTATCCACTGAGCCAAACCGGCTAAGGCTTGTTTTAAAAAATTCGTGTTAAAATTTTGTGTCTTGCCGGCACCGGTTTGGCTCAGTGGACAGAGCGTCGGCCTGCGGACTGAAAAGTCCCGGGTTCGATTCCGGTCAAGGGCATGTACCTTGGTTGCGGGCACATCACCAGCAGGGGGTGTGCAAGAGGCAGCTGATCGATGATTCTCTCTCATTGATGTTTCTAACTCTCTATCCTTCTCTCTTCCTCTCTGTGAAAAGTCAATAAAATATATTTTTAAAAAAATTTGTGTCTTATATGCATAACCCATTGACACAAACAATATTGGAGGGGGCCAATGTGGGGGAAAAGGGGACATATATAATAATTTCAACAATAAATTATTTTAAAAAACTGTCTTAAAAGTCATGCAGAAGCAACAGCATCACAAGTTCACTAGTATTTATAACAAAATTAGTTGTACAGGGATCAAATCCACAACCTTACTTTACTACACAATGTTTCATGGAGTTTCTTAATTCAGAAATGAAAGTATTGTATTATAAAGAGCAGTCCCCTACTTCACTCCCAACTTATGCCCCCAGAGGCAACTGCTCTCAATTCTCCTAAAGCCGCTTTCAGAGCATTTACCTCCATGTTTCTGAAAAACATGTTTAATATGGCTATTTCTTGTTTAGAGGCTGAAACACGACTTCCTATTTTGGTTGATTGAGATTTAGTCCTATCCCACCCCATCTCCTTTTGAAGAAGTTTATCATTTCATATTTTGGATTCCTGATATTATTTTAGCCTCTAGTCATTCTCAGCCCGTCCAGAGACAGGGAGATGTCGTTCCTGGTAGTAATCAGTGCTGCAAGCAGGGAAGCACCTGAACGTAATCTGTCTCTGGCCACGTAGGTAGTGCCCGCAATCAACTGGAGAGGTGTTGTCTCCTCCTGGGCCCTTTGAGGGGTCTCAAGAAGTCATCCAGTACATCCTTCAGCCTACAGATAACTGTCTTTAAGACACCTTTAACCTATTCCTCAAAGCCACCTTGATACCATATTCTAAGTCTTCCAACCATCACTCACACTTACTAATGTAAGCCCTTATAAACCTGTCTCATAAAGCAGCTATACCCAGAAACAACAGCCAACAGCTCTCTCTTTACTGAGTGCTAATAAGATAACAGCTAGCATTATTCACTGATCAGTTACTTCTAAGCACCGTGCCAAATGTGTTACATCAGATATCTACTTAATTTCTTATAACATATAAAAAGGCAAATATTATTTTCCCCCTTTACAGAAGCAGGAACTGAGGCGCTAAAAGCTTAAGTAATTTGCCCAACTTTACGTGGCTGGTATGAGGTGAAGATGAGACTGTTTCTAGAGCTCAAGGAACTGACAATACTAAGTTGACGGTGTGTGAACATGTGTGCACAGCTGAGGAAGGCAGAGAGTGAAGGAAGCCAGGCTGTGGAGTCAGTCCCAGTAGAGCCAGGCAATGAGCTTCTAGCCCCATCCAATAAACTCACCAACACATGCCAAAAAATCCGAGTTGCCTCCAGAGTTCAAAGTTAAGATTTATAAAAACCAGAGTCCCTGAGGACACAGCCAAGGTCCCTATACCTTATCAATCCATTGACCTCGTCCACAATGTGGCGCAGCTTATAATACGCGTCCGTGGGTGGCAGCTTCAGCTCCAGAATCAGCCGGTCGATCTTGTTGATGCACACGGTGACCGCCAGCCTCTCCTGCACCGCATGCTTGATGAGCCGCTCTGTGTTCAGCATCACCTGGGAGACACGAGGCGGTGAGAGCAAAGGTTAGGGAGAGGTGGGGGAGATAAGAGATAAACCGTAAGACATGTGTGCATGCATATAAGCATAACCAATGGATGCAAAACTCTGGGGGATGAGGGCATGTATGGGAGTGCGGTGTGGGTGGGCAATGGTAAGATATGTACACATATAATACCTTAATAAAAAAAAATTGGGAAAAAAATAAAAATAAGAAGAATGTATAGTAAAAAAATAAAAATAAAAAAGTCCCTGATTTTGGTAACTGTTACTATGGTTATGTAAATGAATGTCTTTGTTCTTAGGAAATACATTCTGAAATATTTTACTTTCAAATGGGTCAAGGGAAGAATACACACACATGTGTGAGTATGTGTATACATGTACAGAAAGAATTACCAAGAAAATGAGGGTGAGTTCTTTGTATTCACAACTTATCAATAAATCTGAAATTTTTCCAAAACAAAACCAATTTAATAAAAGCAATTCTGGCTCCCTCTGCTGGCTATCTAATTAATGACAACATGAATGAGGTTAGCCAATGTACATAATCTTTCAATTTAGAAATATAAGACATCCTGGGTCCTTTAACTCCAATTTCTCTTATGATTAAAAACACTCACTAATATTTAAAATTTATATGAACATACCTCTTGTTTTTTTACATTTGTCATTTTATCTTTTTTTCTGAATAGCAATGGGTCCTATCATTCATTTTAAACTTCACTGGACTCAGAACTAATTTTGAACTTCATTTAGAGCAAATATGAGCCTTAGTTTTAGAGCAAATATGAGCCTTAATCCCACAGACTCTCATGTTCTCTGGTTCCCAGCTTGCTCAGTGCTCAGAGCTCTGTGGGTGGGGCAAACCTAATAGGAAGTAGGGGTCTCGACTCACGCCCTCGGCAGCATCGATGAAAAGCACCACTCCATCTGAGATGCGCAAGCCAGCCGTGACCTCATCAGAAAAATTCACATGTCCTGTAAAGCAAATACCAACCAAGTCACTAACTAAGTTGCACAGTAGTGTCCAGCCGGTGGTGGCAGGAAGAGGCACAATAACTGGTAAGTGGTCTGAGGAGTACTGCAAACCCCCCGTTTCCTTTTCCCTTCTCTCCACAGCAATCTGTGGTGAATAAAATTCCACCATTAGAGTCACATCCTTGGATTAAACTTCTGTACAGGAGGTCCCAAAACAAAAAGAAGGACGTGTTTTACCTAGGAGGGCATAACATATTCACATTCACTCAGCAATAAGCAGAGTTCTGTGGAAATGAAGACAATTTGGAGGCAGGAGAAAAGGCAGAGGAAGGCCAGGAGAAGGGAGATGGTACCTGGCAAGAGGCTGTGGGGAGCAGGACTGACAGGTCTGAGGGCATTGGGCAAGGAAGACCAACCTGTTAAAACTCAAATTTTCCTGTTTAAAACTCTGCTCCACTTGGTCTTCTCCAAAAGGTAAAGAGTCAGACTCGGGGCAAGGCACACTGCCCATTGGTAACCTGCGTGTCTACTAGCAAGCAGTTGATGTGTTGCTACTATAATCTCCTTCAAAAGATTGAGAGTGGCTGAGGCAGGGAACCATGTCTGACTCACCTTTGTTACCATAGCATGGGCCTGAGCAGACTCTAGTGAATAAATAAATAAAATTTCCTAAAATTTAAATATTTCAGAGAAGAGTAAAGAGAGGAGCCTGGAGCACAGCACTTGCTACGGTAATTAACTAGTCCGAAGCAAAGAAGGGTCAAGGAATGTCCTACCTGGAGTGTCCATGATATTGAAGAGGTAAGATTTCCCTTTAGTATCCGGCAAAACCACTGTCACAGGAGTGCTTTTGATGCCAACACCTCTCTGAAAGTAAAAAAAAAAAAAAAGCATTCAAGTCTTCTTCCCATACAAGAGGGGTTCATTCTTCTCTTGCAGTTTGCCAGTTGCTAGTAAATTACACTGATTCATCACTTTGTAGTAGGTATGATTTGTATCTATCTAGCCATCCAATCAGAATGACCTTGAAGATGAAATATCTTAATGTTAACAGCATTTGGGGAGGGATGTTGTTTCAAATACAAAAAAAATAAAACAAGTTTTATCCTCTCATACACTGGGAACAAAAATAATAACCAAGCTTTAAGTACGTAAAAACCAACAATCTGGGGGCATTTTAGGCTCAAAACATAAAAATAAATAAATAAATAAAAACTATATCAGGGACCCTAGCTGGTTTGGGTCAGTGGATAGAGCATTACCCTGCGGACTGAAGGGTCCCTGGTTCAATTCTGGTTAAGGGCACATGCCCAGGTTGTGGGCTTGATCCCCAATGGGGGGCGCGCAGGAGGCAGCCAATCAATGATTCTCTCTCATCATTAATGTTTCTCTTTCCCTCCCCTTCCTCTTTGAAATCAGTAAAAATATACAGATAAAAAACTATAATAGGGAATAATTATTAAACTTTAGTCAAATAAATATATTAAGAAACAACAGTAACGTCCAGCTGGTGTGGCTCAGAGGTTTAGCATCAACCCATGGACCAAAAGGTTGCAGGTTTGATTCCTGGTTAGGGAACATGCCTGGGTTCTGGGCTTGATCCCCAGTAAGGTTTCTTTAAAAAAGAGAGAAGCTACTCCTAGAAAGGCATTGTCTTATGGATGAAGTAATCTTACAGATTTTAAGCATGATATAATTTTAAAAATCATGTTGGCGCCTGCATAACTTACAGATGTACACATCTATTAGTATCTGCCCTATTGGATCCATTAAATCCAGTCAAGGACAGGAGGGTTCCTCCCTTTTATCCTACCGCTTGCCTAGCCAGCACCCTTCAAGTTATAAATAATGGGAAGACTGGTAGGTAGAAGCTAGGAGATAAAGAGGTGAGAGCGAGAGAGGGATTCAAGGTATGGACCATCATAAAGACTCCTACTGCCAAAACTGGTTTGGTTCAGTGGATAGAGGTTCGATTCCTGTCAAGGGCATGTGCCTGGGTTGCGGGCACATTCTTGGTGGGGGGTGTGCAGGAGGCAGTTGATTGATGTTTCTCTCTCATCGATGTTTCTAACTCTCTATCCCTCTCCCTTCCTCTCGGGAAAAATCAATAAAATATATTTTAAAAAAAGAAAAGACTCCCTACTCTCCCTACCAAACTATTGCTGGATCTGGTGTGGGCAATAATCGAGTTTCCAAAGCAAACTTACCTCTTGTTCTGTGAAGAGAATGTCAGTGTAGCATAGCTGAAAAAAATAAACTGTTGTTACCAACTGAATTCAGACTCCTCTCCCACACAAACCATCAATCATTTTCCCCCACCACTTCCCAATTCAAGGTTTCTGCCACAGGAAGAAAATACATGAAAAGAGCAGGGTCTCCCTATAAAAATTCCAGATAATGAGACCAGTGCCTTCACAGATGGAAAATGCTCCTGGATGTGTTTTGGGGGATGGGGGTGAAGACCAGGTACAGCTGGAAAGCTAAATTATATCAAATGCACCCAATTCTTAAAGGGAGTCACATGTAGCCTTCATGGAACCCCACATGCTGAAACAGTCAAGCTGATAGAGACTGAACAATTATTACATTGAGACTTGCAGCAAAACTGGTCTCACTCACAGGCATGTAAATTCATCATGAAAACAATACAGTCCAATTGTATTATATTTATAGAGGAAGCTTTTAATATTATGACAGGAAAAAAGAGGCTATAGTCGGCCAGTGTAGCTCAGTGGTTGAGCATTGACCCATGAACCAAAAGGTTGCTGGTTCAATTCCCCCATCAGGGCATATGACTGGGTTTCAGACTTGGTCCCCAGGGGAATGGGAGGGTTTGTGTGTTTGGGGGCAGAAGGGATGTGTAGGAGGCAATAGATTGATGATGTTTCTCTCTCATTGATGTTTCTATTTAGCCCTCTGCCTTACCTTCTCTCTAAAATCAATAAAAAAAATTTTAAAAAAGAGAAAAAGAATTGGCTATAAAAGCCCTAGCTGGTTTCGCTCAGTGGATAGAGCGTCGGCCTGTGACTGAAAGGTCTGGTCAAGGACATGTACCTAGGTTGCAGGATCGATCCCCAGCCCAGGATGCGTGCAGGAGGCAACCAATCAATGTTTCCTCTCTGTCTCTCCCCTCCCTTCCACTCTCTAAAAAAAGTCAATGGAAAAATATCCTCGATTAAGGATTAATAACAACAAAAGTCAGAACATATCAGAGAAAAGAGGAGGGATCTCAAGTGTAGAACAGATCATCCAAAAATATTCTTTATGCTCCCAATAAAGTTGTAATTATTTTCTTAAAGGCAATTAATAGAGATTACAATCATAAAGCAGCACTTTGAAGACGTCATTATTTATAGTGAGTGAGAAGGCTGAGGGAAGAGAGAGAGACACCCTATAAATCCTCAACAGAATTTCTACTTACATCCTGGTCATAGCGCTTTCTGATCTCCGGATGAGTCTGCTCTATTAAACAATCTACAAAACACGTCTGAAAGGAAAAAGGAGGTTAAAATCTGCCAACCACAGAGTAAAATCTATTCTACTCTTCCCCCAGCTCCCAATACAACATATCATTTAGAGATAAGGAGAGGAGGGAGAGAACAAGGAGGATTATGGGACAGCAAAGGATCAACACTAAAACCACAGGATTATTTTCAAATGAAAGATGCAGTCTTTCTTGGACAAGCATCCTCAGGGAAATAAAGACATAAAATCAGAGTAAGGCTCATTTCCCCCTTTTCTGTCCAGCTGTAGACACAAGGCTTGGGCATGCAAGCGGCTTACTAATAGGCTCTGCAGGCTGATTAGGAAAAGCTAGAATTTCACATCGAGGTTTCACAATGAGCACAGAGCCCCAGAATCAGGAGGCCCAGCCTTATGGGCTCAAACCCCAACCTATGCCTCTGAGGGCTGAAAAAATGAACAGGAACGAAGAGAAATCCTGTTCCAAGTAGCTATCATTTCTCTCACCTTGCCATGATGGAGGTGGCCACAAAGGGTCACATTTCTGATGAGTTCTGAGTTATCCATCAGATCTGCCAAGAAACTGAAAGAAGGAAGGAAATTGGGAAAAGTTCTTAAGTGGGAAGGGATGCAAAAATGGTATTTTTAGTTGTTCAGGAACTACTTTCAGCCCAACAATGCTCAGAGGCCAATGTGAATTTCTATACCTGTATAGCTCTGGCTTTGGGAATGGAATAGGCTTATCCATGAGAGCGACACAATCTGTGAAGTCTCGTGAGGATTTCAACAGCAAAATAATAAGATTTAAAAAGCAAGGAAAAAAATAAACAAAAACCAATACCAGAACTAACACATATACCCAAATATCCCTTTCAAAATCTTCAGACTAATCATTTAGGGATAAGGAGAGGAGGGACTTAAAATAACTTTGGGAATTTCTTTATTAAAACTGTCATCAGAGCTAGTTAACAAAACAGATGCCATCTCACTAACAATGCCGAGCAGAGAACGTCCATCTTTACCAAAACCAGCACTGTCTTTCTTGCTTACCACCCACATTATTTATGGCAAGTAGCCTTCAGGTGACTTTGGCTCTTTAAAAAGATCAAAGTCTGCTTTCAAAGATTGGAGATTTAAAATAATCACCATTGAGAACAGAAAGGAATATGAAACAAGTTTTGAAGATAACTGAAAATTTGCTTCAAAAATGTCTAAATGATGGTAGGTGAGTTTAAATATTTGATGAGGAACCCCCCATTCTTTTGAGCAAACGAGATGAAAACGTGGCTAAAAAAAGCTTCATTATCTAATATTGAGCTACAAACACTTCACTATACAAGGGCCATACAAGTGAATTAATCAGTTTAAATATTTGCAAAAACAGTGTGAAGAGTCTAAATTATTCTATATATACAATTAGGTTTACAGTGTTTGTATGGAATATAACATAAAATCAATAAATGATAATTCAAGAATAAACTGTTTCTGGGTGAGTGGGAGGTAATGAACTAAAGACCTGATATGCATAGTATTTGTATAACCCATGGACACAGACAATAGGGTGCTGAAGGCCTGGGGCAAGGGGGGCCTGGAGGGGTTAATAATGGGAAAAAAGGGAATATATATAATACTTTCAACAATAAAGAATTATATATATTAAAAAAGAGGGTTTCAAAGACTCACAACTGTAAACCTACTTTTGCCCTCCTTTTAAAAATAGATCATTATGCTTCCAAAACACTTAGCAATTTTGCTGAGTCAAAAGAGGCTCTGGTGGCCCAACACTGACAATTAAATACTTAGTTCTCTCTGAGTACTAAAGCTGGCTTTCAATACCAAACTAGAGATTTGAAAGGAGAGAAAATAGCTGAGATATGGATGAGAGCCAAGAGAAAAGTTAAGAATGCAACTAAATATCCTAGAAGCCATATAAACTGAAAGGAAATCTTGGCAAATTGTAGGGAGAAATTTTGCTTTTGAAATTCACTGGCTACTTCAACCACAAACCACTTCCTATACCCCCATGAAATAATGAGCCTACATGGAGAGAGGCTGAGAGATCTTATAACTTACTCCATTTCATACACCGTGACAGGTAACGTCTGCTCCATCAGAGTGAATTTCTTGGTTTTCACTGGCTTAATAATAGGTTCTAGGGGGGGAAAAAAAGTAATAATGTGCAGGTAGGCAGAAAACATAAAAATACAGAGCTCTATTCCATTAGGCTGCGCTTTCAGAATGCACGATATGTGATATAAATTTATGTTATTCTCAAAGATTACACAGATGTTGAGGAAGTTCTGGGAATGCTACTTTGCACAAGACAGTAAAGGAGAATTGTGAACTGAGCTTGAACTTCATTTTGTGGGACACAGGGAGAGGGACTGGACATAGGCTGAGGTCAATGTCAGTTCAAAACCACTCCTTGCACTTACAGAATGGAAAATAGGCATCATGAAGTTTGGTTCAAAGAGTTGGGATTATTTAGTGGGAGAACTTAAATACAGTCTTCAAGCACCTAAATAGATATTAGATAAATGAAGAAATAACTCTTACTTTCCTAGAAGAAAAACCATGAGTTTTATTGAATATTAAAACAGGATTGCCCTAGCCAGTTTGGCTCAGTGGATAGAGCGTTGGCCCATGGACTGAAGGGTCCAGATTTTATTCCAGTCAAGGGCACGTACCTCGGTTGCAGGCTAGATCTCTGGCCCTGGTTGGGATTCATGTGGGAAGCAACCAACCAATTGATGTATCTCTCTCGCACAGATGTTTCTCTCTCTCTGTCTCCCCCACTCCTTTCTTCCCTCTTTAAAAATCAATGGAAAAGCATCCTCAGGAGAGGATTAAAGCAAACAAAAAACCAGGTTAAGTGTCTCTCAATCCAGAAATAGTACTTGAGGGCAATAAAAAAAATTAATCAATTCATTCACTGAATTCTCATGTTTGCTGATGGCTATGAAATGAAGTGTTCTAGTTTCACTGTTGCCTCCCACAACTCAGTGCCCACTGCCTTACCTGTGAGGGGCTGGGTGTCTTCCTCCTGAACTATGGTCTCCACCTCCGGACCATACACCTCTTCCGCGGTGGGGTAGTACTTTTTGTCCTCATGCAGCACCACCTCCATCCCAGGGTGGTCTTCATCGTGGTCGCCTACATCATCATCATCGTCGTCGTCATCCATCTAAAAGCAAGAGAGGCTGTAAGAGGCACACACTTTCCTGCTCAATAACTGACATTACACAAGCTAAGGGCAATGACTTCACATGTGTGATGGCCTCTGATTTTGAGTTCTGTGCTAGAGTCAGTGGGGCAGGTTCTACTCTTGCATGATCCTTCACAAAGAGAGGACTATAGAGCCAAGGCTGCAGACAGCTCTTCTCATTCAAACGAGCTCCTTCCTAAGTGTGAGCCACTGCTCACAAGTGAATCAAGAGTAGAGAAAGCAAATGGCTTATCACAACACACCCTTTTAAGGGAAAACGTAATTCCTTCCAAGGGCAGAAACCAGGAAGCAGAGATAGAAACGAGGAGTAAGTCCATAACTTTAAGATGGTCACTTAGATTCACTGAACTGTTTTAGAAAAAGAATTTTCTTACAGAAAACAAGAGGTGTTGGTGAGGATGCGAAGAAATTGGAACTCTCATATACCGGTGCTAGCGACGCAAAATGGTGCAGCCACTTAGAAAAACCATTTGACAGCTCCTTAACATGTCAAACAAAGAATTACCATATGACCCAACAATTCCATTCCCTAGGTACAAATGAAAACTGATGTTCACACAAAAACATAAATAAATGCTCAGAGCAGCAATGTTCATAATAGTCGAAAAGTGAAAATAACCCAAATGTCAATAAAATGTGGTATATCCACACAATGGAATACTATTTGGCAATAAAAATAAATACTTATACATGCCACAACATTGATAAATCTTGAAAACATTATACTAAGTTAAAGAAACCAAATACAAGGACAATGGTTTTCAACCCAGGGGCAACTGAGTAACATCTGAAGATATATTTGGCTGTTATACTGGGTGTGTGGGGTCCAGTGGGCAGAGACCAGGGATACTGCTAAATATCCTATAAAGCACAGGACAGACCCCACAACAAAGAATTTTCTGGCTCCAAATGTCAATGTTGCCGAGGTTGCCAAACCTGGCTTCAGTGGTTCTGAGCAGAGGAATAATATGATCAGACTTTTGTTTTAAAAAGAATCACTCTGGTTCCTGTACTGAGAATATACTGGAAGGAGGGAGATTAGAAGGAAGTGAGGGGAGGTTGAATCTGGATATGTTCTGAAGGTAGAGTCAAAAGTGTATTCTAATCACTTCTTGGCCTTTTGGGTTAAGTTCAAGCACAATTATCTGTCCCTGTCAGTTTAATATCTGATATGTCCTCTACCTGAGGACAATAATATACTACATGGAATGTTGGAGCAGGGAAGTGGAAAAGGAGTTTAAAAAAAAAGTGCATTCTGATGGTGGTGGTGGTGGGGTAGAGGGAGGGGGAAGGCTCAGTATTTAGGTCCCAGACCTAAGTTTGAGATGCCCTGTTACTATGGTTGCCAATCTTTCGGACTTCACGGACCAGACCGCTGCCCTATTAGACATCAAGTGGAGAAGCTAAGAAGGAAGTTGGACATATAAACCTGAGGGTCAAGAGTAAGGCCCAGCTGGGACCGGTTTGGCTCAATGGATAGAGCGTCGGGTTGGGGACTGAATGGTCCCGGGTTCGATTCCGGTCAAGGGCATGTACCTTGGTTTCGGGCATATCCCCAGTAGGGGGTATGCAAGAGGCAGCTGATCGATGACTCTCTCATCGATGTTTCTAACTATCCCTCTCCCTTCCTCTCTGTATAAAATCAATAAAATATATTAAAAAAAAAAAAAAAAAAAAAAAGAGTAAGGCCCAGGTTGGAGATATAAATTTGAGAGTCCTCAGTGAATAGAAAGTATTTGGTAGATTGGATGGGATCATTAGGGGACTGGGTATAGACAGAGAAAAGGATAAGGAATGGAGCCTGGGACCTGTTGACAGTTATATGTCAGAGAGATGAGGAGAAACCAGCAGTGAAAGCTGAGAAGGGCCAGCCAGTGAAGAGAAGGAAAACCTGGGAATTCTCTGGAAGCCAAAGGAAGAGAAATGGTCAGCTAGGCTAGTCAGATGCTACAGAAATACCTGGTAAGATGGGATTGGATCCAGAACAGAGGTCACTCGTGACCTTGACCAGAACATTCACACATGGCCTAACTATATGGTCTTGTTGCTCTTAACAGCTTTAGTGGGATAAAATTCACATTTCTCTCAACTCACCAATTTTAAGTGCACCATTTTAATGTTTTTTTTTAGTATACTCAGAGTTGTGCAATCATTACTGCAATCAATTTTAGATCCTTCAGCCATCACTTCCCAATTTCATGTCCCAACCTAGACAATCATTAATCATTCTACTTCCTGTCTCTAAAGACGCTAACCCTTTATTTGGCTTCACTCTGAATGTGATTTCCTCAGATATTTTTCTTGGTCATCGCACCAGGAGTAATCTCTCCTTATATCCTATTACCATGGATATAAGTTAATATGTCTTAAATGGCACTTGTCCTCCTTCCCTGTCTCATATTAAAAACACTTTTGCATGCACTTCATCTCCCCTGGCAAGCAGTACGCTCCTGGAGGGCAGAGATAATGCTTGGCTCTCCCTGCCTCAGGATTCCTTGCAAATAATAAGTGCTCCATAAATTCTTAATGAATGATTTCTGGGGCTTTATTTAGCTTGCAATTCAAGTTTGTTGGGATCATTTTGAAGTTAGATTCTGTTATCCAATATATTAGCTTATGTGATGTGCAAATTTTATAAACTTCTTTATCTTTACCTAAGTCATTGACAAAAAGGTTGAAAAGGATGGGACCGAGCACAGATGCCTGGGGCATGTCATAAGAGCTCTGGCAGTGACTCATATCAAAGCTCTCTCCGTCCCATTATTCAATGGCTGGGACTTGTCTCCTATTATGACCCAGCCTATATACTTTCCATAAGGATGTCATGAGTTACCGTGGTTACTCTGGGGAGTGAAATAGAATAGGAACCAAAATATACTTTCTATTTGGCTTGAATGTGTTCATTAATTACGTGTATAATATCTCTTTAAAATAATATTTTAAAAATATATCTTTAGAAAATCATTGATTGGGTGCCTCCTGCAAGCCCCCAACTGGGGATCAAACAAACAACCTGGAATCAAACCAGCAACCTTTTCACTCATGTGTAGATGCTCAACCACTGAGCCTCTCTGGCCAGGCGAAAATAATATTTTTAAGAAGAAAATAACTAATTTATAAGAAAAATAAGATATCAGATGCCTTGCTCAAATCAAGATATATAATATCCACAGCATATACCTGACCTATATCTCAATCTGGTAATTGTATCAAGAGGAAACTTTTATAAAACTCACATGAACTTTCTAAGTGTTTATTTTTATTTTTATTTTTTAAATATATTTTATTGATTTTGTACAGAGAGGAAAGGAGAGAGTTAGAAACATCGATGAGAGAGAGTCATCGATCAGCTGCCTCTTGCACACCCCCTACTGGGGATTTGCCCGCAACCAAGGTTCATGCCCTTGACCGGAATCGAACCCGGGACCTTTCAGTCCCCAAGCCGACGCTCTATCCATTGAGCCAAACCGGTCTCAGCGAACTTTCTAAGTGTTTAAAGTCATCTGTTTTTAAAAATCTTTCCATAATTTTTACCACGCATGCACATTACACTCTCTAGCCTGTAGTTTCTGAAATGCAGTGCCTTACCTCCATCTCTGAAAAGCAGGATGAGTTGCCGATTCACTTCCTAGCACCACAGCCAGTCCTGTTTTTTAAAGATGACCACATGGCTCTCAGCTTACCTCGTCAAGGTCTCCCCCATCCAGGACCTAATGCATCTGGACTTGGAGACTTGAACACACCCAAGAGGCTCTCTTTTCACCTCACACATAAGGCTTCAATTTTCTTGTCCCTGTGTTTTTTCTAGTTTGAAGGACATTTTTTCTGGCGGAGAATACAGATGGTAGCCAGGACTGTTATTCTGCTTCCTGCTGTTTTATTAATGTCACAGCTCCATCGATGAGCAGTGGCCTACCTACTTCTTATTTTGAACACAGCTAAAACATAAAAGCATCTTCAGTGTCTTTTGCAAGTCTCAGACCACACTGGACTTCACCCTCCACAGCTCTCCTGATGGGGAGTCAACGGAAGCTGCACCTTCTCTTTCTGTTGCTTTTATTCGTCTTTCAAAACCTGAGCTCAGGAGGGAGTTCCCAGTGCAGCTGCACGTGGGAAAGGTGACTACCTTATGTTTTCTTTTGGAGCTTTAGTAGCTAAGTTTTCTTAGGGCAGTATGAGACCCAGTAGGTCATATTATAATGTACCAAGGTATATTATGGGAGCACAGAGAATTCAGTACTTTTGTTGTTTTGTTGTTTTTTTAAAAAGAGAGAGAAGAAAAAAAGCAATATATTTGTCTTACCTCATCAAGATCTTTGGTCTCTCTGCCCAATTCATCATCATCTTCATCAGAATCTAGCTCTGGTCCAATATAATTCCCAAACTCATCATACAAGTCAGTATCCATGATGCTGCAATTAAAGAAGAGAAGTTAATTAGATTCAGACAAGGTAATCAGGCCTCCACCACATGCCCCACATGCAAATTTATAAACTTTATATGTCTAGCCTTATAGTTGACCACATCCCTTCACACATTTCCTTTCCACTTACACTAACTCATAGTCTCTGTTTACATACTCTTCTTCTTTTAATACTAAATAAAAAATATAACTTGATACTAGAAGGCTTCAAAGCTAGTATAAATAACTTTCTTTTTCCTGAATTATTTGAGAACTAGAGGCCCAGTGCACTGGTGGGGGCATGACCTGCGGGGACCAGCCTGCTGTGGGAGTGCTGCTCCTCCCAGTCAGCCCAGCAGCGCTTCCCCTGTGGGAGCGCACTGACTACCAGGGAGGTAGCTCTTGTGTTGAGTGTTTGCTCCTCTGGTGGTCAGTATGCATCATAGCAACTGGCCGACCAGTCATTCTGGTCGTTCCGCCATTAGGTTGCCGGGCTATTATTATATAGGATTGGATAGGATAGGATAAGTTGCTGACACAGTGCCTTCATTACCACTTAAAAGTTTACTGAAGGAGTTGGCACATTATGGTCTGTGGCCAAATCAGGTCTGTTGCCTGATTTTATAAAGCCTCAAGCTAAGAATTTTACATTTTTAAATAGCTGAAAAATCAAAAGAATAATACTTCATGATATGTGAAAATTAATAAAATTCAAATTTCAATGCCTATAAAAACAGCTTTATTGGAACACAGCCACGCACAATCATTCATATTGTCTATGGCCACTTTCACACTGAAAGAGCAGAGCTGAGTAGCTGCAACTGCGCCCATATGCCCAGAAGCTTAAAATATTTACTACAGAAAAGGCGTGCCAACTACTGCTTTCGTGTGTGTGATTCCTTCGAACAAGAACATTCCCCTACATACTCATAATGCAACCACCAAACCCTGGCCCGTGTTGCTCAGCAGTTGGAGGGTTGGCTCTTGCACCAAAGGGTCTCAGGTTCGATTCCAGGTCAAGAGCATGCACCTGGGTTGCAGGTTCAATTCCCATGTGGGAAGCAACCAATCAAGTATCTCTCTCACATCAATGTTTCTCTCTCTTTTCCCCATTCCCACTCTTCCTTCCACTGCTCTAAAGGTCAATGGGAAAAATATCCCCAAGTGAGAATTAACAAAAACAAAACAAAACAAATACAACCATCAAAATCAGAAAATCAGACACGTTATTATCACCTAATTCACAGGCCCCCCCAAACTTTCACAAACTGTTTTAACAACATCCTGCACAGCAAAGGATCCAACTCAGAACTGCATGTTTGCCTTTAGCAGTCATATCTTTAGTCTCACTCTGGAACAGTTCCTGTCTTTCTTTTGACTTTTATGACTTAACACTTTTGAAGATTATAGGCTAGTAAGTTTGTAGAATGTCCTTTAACTTGGGTTTGCCCAATGTTTCCTAATGATTAGATTAAGGTTATGCATTTCTAGAAGGAACATCACAGATGTAATGCTGTGTTATTTTAAAATATATTTTAATTGATTTCAGAGAGGAAGGGAGAGGAAGAGAGCTAGAAACATTCATGGTGAGAGAGAATTATTGATTGGCTTCTTCCTGCACACTACCTACTGGGGATCGAGCCTGAAACCCAGGCATGTGCCCTTGACAGGAATCGAATCCAGGACCCTTAGTCCGCAGGCCGATGCTCTATCCACTCTGGAAAACCAGCCAAGGCAGTGGTCGGCAAATTCACTGGTCAACAGAGCCAAATATCAACAGTACTCAACTGAAATTTCTTTTGAGTGCCAAATTTTTTAAACTTAAACTTCTTCTAATGCCACTTCTTCAAAATAGACTCGCCCAGGCCGTGGTATTTTGTGGAAGAGCCACACTCAAATAGCCAAAGAGCCGCATGTGGCTCGAGAGCTGCAGTTTGCCGACCGTGGGGCTAGAGTGATGCTGTGTGTTTTTTCAGTGCATCCCCTATCAGGTGATATCTGATTTTAATTAGTGGTGATGTTACCTTAATCACTTGATTACAGTGGTCTCTGCCAAGCTTTTCTATTGTAAAGTTACTTGTTTTCTCTTTGTAATTAATAAGTATTTTGTGGTTTTCTCTACTTCAATTACTGAAATTCTATTCAAAATACAGTTCAAATGCCACCCTTTTCAAGCTTTTTTCGAACCTTAGTATCTCACTCCCCTATGCTGCTATTGCCTTCTGCAGCTTTACCAGCATTTAATTGTTTTGAATGGCAGTTAACAGTACTGATTACCCTCACCATCAACTCTGCAGCTTACAAGTAATAAACAACAATCAGAGCATGGGTTAAGGGCTTGGGGTCTGGAATTGGAAGATTTGGATGTGAGTCCTAACTTTTGTCACTTAATAACTATGTATTCCCGAAACCGGTTTGGCTCAGTGGATAGAGCGTCAGCCTGCGGACTGAAAGGTCCCAGGTTCGATTCCGGTCAAGGGCATGTACCTTGGTTGTGGGCACATACCCAGTAGGGGGTGTGCAAGAGGCAGCTGATCGATGTTTCTCTCTCATCGATGTTTCTAACTCTATTTTTCTCCCTTCCTCTCTGTATAAAATAACTATGTAACTTCAGGTAAGCCACTTCGACTCTAAACCTGTTTCCTTAACTGGAAAATGGAGTGCACAATTTCCATTGCATAAAAGGTTAAGAGAATTAAACAAAATAGTGTATGTAAAGAATTTATCAGAGTCCCAGACTCAATAAATGGTAGCCAGCATTATTTTTTGTCTATTTAAAAATATATTTTTATTGATTTCAGAGAGGAAGAGAGATAGAGACATCAATGATGTGAGAGAATTGATCAGCTGCCTCCTGTACACCCCCTACTGGAGATTGAGACCACAACCCGGGCATGTGCCCTGATTAGGAATTGAACCATGACCTCCTGGTTCATAGGTTGACACTAAACCACTGAGCCATGCCAATCAGGCATTTTTGGCTATTCTTAAGTTCAGGAATTCTGTGTTCTTTGTGCCTACCTGACAATGCATAAGTAGGCCCTGTTAAATATTAAATAAATGGAACGTTTAATTTTGATACTGTTATTTCTTGCAATAGGTTAATCCTTTACCTCCCTCAATGCAACCTGTTGAATGCTGATTGTAGGCAAAATAGAGAAGAGTCCCCCAAACCAGTAGCTAACATAAACTATTATAATTTTAAATATGCATAGGGATTTGTTACACTTCCAAAGAGCTATCACATCAGCCGGAACTGGTTTGGCTCAGTGGATAGAGCGTCGGCCTGCGGACTGAAGGATCCCGGGTTCGATTCCGGGCAAGGGTATGTGCCTTGGTTGCGGGCACATCCCCGGTGGGGGGTGTGCAGGAGGCAGCTGATCGATGATTCTCTTATCGATGTTTCTAACTCTCTATCCCTCTCTCTTCCTCTCTGTGAAAAATCAATAAAAAAAATTAAAAAAAATAAACCAAGAGCTATCACATCAGTGCTCATTTCATTCTCCCAAATCCATGAAGTGACAGCAGAAATTTTTACATACCGATATTCATGGGACACACCAAGCTAATTTATACTTTGGGGCCATTGTACTTGATATTCTCCTCTGAAATGCTCTTCCTTTGGGTATTTATACCTTGTTCCTTCATTTCACTTGGTCTCTATGAAAACGTCACGTTTTCTGCGAAACCTTCAATTGTCACTCTATAAAAGTCCTCCATACACACTCTGTTTTATTATTGTTAACATTTACCACCAACTGAAACCTATATATCTATATATGTGTTTACTGTCATCCCTCCAACTACAACGTAAGCAAGGACTCCATTTCACTTAGTGCCTGGCACAATACAGGGCCTCAATAAGTATTTGCTGAATGAATGAACGATTCCAACAAGGCACAGAGAAGAGAGCTGACTTGCCTACAAAGCCAGTAACTTTGGGCATCAAACCTCACTGCAGCTTCCCGCTATAACGGAGGCTCTCAATCAAAGGAACACAGAATAAGCACGGAGAGAGTTGGGCACAGGAGTGAAGATGGCACAGGTGGAACCGGAGAGAGGGGACTGAACAGTGAGGGAATGACTCCTGCCTAGGGAAGGGTTTAACGGGTAGACATTGAGGGAATCCTGGAATCTGGGTGTGTGTTGGAAGTCGCGGGAAGGGGTGGGGGGGGGAGGCCTTTCATTCCTTTCCCGTTCCACACTCCAATTTACCCATTTGTAAAGTAAAAGAGGCAGATAGCATATACAGTCTCTTCCAGACCTGACATTAGTTCCCCTTCCCACCCGGAGCAACTTTCCCATCCCGATGCGCGTCAACTCACCTCCCTCCCGCTCAGCCGAAACCTCCGAGCAGCCCCGCGGAGCCCGCGCTTCCGGCCCACGCTGCGGCGCTGCCTGCGCCGGCCGTTCCGAAGGACCCCGCCGACGCCGCGGCCGCGTTTCTGCCGCGGACAGCCCTCTGCCTGAGGACTAGCTCAGAGGAATGGCATCCGCGGACACAGGAACGGGAGAGGTGGAGTTGTAAAGACTGAATGAAACTGAGGCGTGGACTACTCCAAACAGAGTGAGGCCTGAAGGGAGCTGAATCTGATCAGGCGCCTCGGGACTACACTGAAAGGGGGCCTTCGAGTCGATCACGTGGGCAGGCTGTGGAAGCAGTTGCTAGGCAACCACAGCGGCTGCGTCTGGTCTACACGGAGCTGTCCTGTTCAGGAGTATCTGAGTGTCCCCAGAGAAAGCAAGGGAACCGAGGCCAGGGCTGCTGGGGTGACAGTCAGGAGGGCAGGAGGCTTAGTTCTGTTTATTCAATTACCGGGTAGGGCTCAGAACTGGACAGGAGCCAGGACATCTGAGTTCAATTCCTGATCAGCCCAGCCGCCTTCTTGGTTGAGGTGAAGCGGGAGGGCTATTGGCTTGGTTGCAGACATCCCACTACCCTGCCCTAGGGCTGTTGATGATGCTTCAATCATAACATCTTGCTCAATGCACCAGGAATCTGAGGCTCAAAGAGATCTCACCACAAGAAAAAAGCAAGAGCCAAAACTGGAACCCATATAGGTGATCTCGCTGTAGAACAGACCAATCAGCCTCATACGCAGAGACTACAGAAGTACAGTGGCAGAACTAAAGAGGACTCCCAAGTACCTAGTCCTCCAGCCCTGGGCTGGACAGAGGAATTTGGGACAGGAATCATTTAAGCCCCTCCCTCTGCCGTTTCTACTTGGTTTCCTGCTCAGTCATTGCATTTGGTTTGGGTGAAAAGGTATTCTTTCTCATTAAAGACATTTAGTGATGTATGAAATTTTTTCCCTGGGCTCAAGAGCAGCTAACAATAGTTCTGCTTTTGTGTGAGGTACTCCTCAATCACAACAACTTGCTATGTGGAAGAGTGAAGGGATTGAATTCTGAGATCCATATGCTTCCTCATCGAAAGCACCAATTCTTAGAGGCAGAAAACGAAATTCAGCTGTGGCTCCAAACTGAAAGTCATTCTGTTTTCAGTGACAACAAATCTTAAGCACGTCCTCACTGTGTAACTCATAAAGTAGAGAACTAGATTCTTGTAAACCCCCCAAATATAATTGACAAGATGTCCGGGTTTGGGGTCATTTTGTGGGCTAGCAAAGAATCCACTTTCCTTCCCTGTTATGGACCTTCCAATGATGTTCATCCTCTTTTCCTTCCCAGGCACAAGCCATGGAGAGGAACGACATCATTGACTTCAAGGCTCTGGAGAAAGAGTTGCAGGCTGCAGTTACCGCCGACGAGAAGTACCGGAGAGAGAACGCTGCCAAGTTTCGGGCAGTGGAACAGCGGGTGGCTTCCTATGAGGAGTTCAGGTTGGCTTAATGTCATTTTTCTCAGGTCCCCCTGTTATGGGGTCTGTAGTGGGTAAGAGCACGTGCTTTGGAGTCAGACCGTTCTGGGCTTAGTCCTGGTCCCGTCCTCTGCTACCTGTGTCATCTTGTGTGAGTCATTTAATCTCTGTGAGCCTCTATTCCTCATCTTTAAGAGAGAATAACCATTACTATGATCAAATGAGTTATTACGTGTAAGATTTTTGAGCAAGAATGTCTGGGACATGGGAAGTACCTAAAAGCTGTCGGCTACTGTTGCCACTGTTGTTATTGTTATTGCTGTCATATTGACCTGTCAACAGGTTCAGCCTATATCATGCACAGTCCAGCCACCTCACGCCCACAGACGTCGTTAGGTCTGTCCCTAGATCTCTGTCCTTTGTCTGCAGGGGCATTGTCCTTGCTTCACACCTCAAGCCCCTGGAGCGGAAAGACAAGGCAGGAGGAAAGAGGACTGTGCCCTGGAACTGTCACACTACTCCAAGAGGGAGCACTCAGGACGAGACCACTGAAATCTCCCAGGTAGGTGGGGCCCAGCAGGATTCTCTGCCGTAAAGCTCCAGTCCTGTCTTCTTACAACACCTACCTTTTCCTTATTTCTCATGTTAAGGCAATGGAGGCAGGGTTCTCCCTCTGATCCCAGAAAGCACTACCATCGGGTAGTGAGGGGAGTTAAGTTGGGCAGGACAAATCGGAAAGTTGAACGAGGTAGGTCCCTCTCAGTCAGTCCTTTTTTTTTTTTTTTTAAATATATTTTATTGATTTTGTACAGAGAGGAAAGGAGAGAGAGAGTTAGAAACATCGATGAGAGAGAGTCATCGATCAGCTGCCTCTTGCACACCCCCTACTGGGGATATGCCCGCAACCAAGGTACATGCCCTTGACCGGAATCGAACCTGGGACCCTGCAGTCCCCAAGCCGACGCTCTATCCATTGAGCCAAACCGGTCTCGGCTCAGTCAGTCCTTTAACTTGCATTCGCAGCTCAGGCTGGGGTTGCTCTGGGTTATAGGGTGTAGAGTATAATGACCCTATGGCAGTGTGGGGAGGGAGACCTCGCCTGGCAGGTCCTTAACACTCCCCTGGAGTTCTTTTTCTCTTCCTGAGGGTTTCCAGTCGTCCCCTCTGCTCTGCTCAGAGTAAAAACCCTTTCTCTCACGTTCATCAGTGGGACTACCCTGGGAGACAACGGAGAGTCTCAAACCAGGCCTGGGTTCTGGGAGACCCTCTCTCATCTGAAAAGGCGGCCGCCATGGACCACAGCCTTCCCAGGGCTCAGAGAACAGCAGCAGAGTTCAGCTGAGAACCCATAGGCCTCCCTCCCTCGCACTGCCAAGAGCAGCTGCACACGCTCTGGGTTCTCCTTTCTTCTTTTGCCCTCCAGGAGAAAACACCCCTGCAGCCTCAGACCTCAGCGGAGTTTTACCGTGACTGGCGGCGATACTTGCGGAGTGGGCCAGAGCGCTACCAGGCCCTGCTGCAGCTCGGAGGTCCCAAGCTGGGCCACCTCTTCCAGACGGACGTGGGGTTTGGACTTCTAGGGGAGCTGCTGACAGCACTGGCGGATCACGTGAGGCCGGCTGACCGGCTGGCGGTGCTGGGGATCTTGCGCAGCCTGGCCGGTACCGGGCGCTTTGCCCTGAACCTCAGCCTGATGAGCTGCGCAGAGAGAGCGAGCTGCAGAAGCTTGTTCCAGAAGCTGCAGGCCATGGACACCCCTCCACCCGTGAAGGGGGGGCTCAGCCAGGAGGAGCAGGGTCTGGAGGAGCAGCCTGGGGGGCTCCAGGAGGAGGAAAGTCTCCTACAAGAACTGCTAGGGTTGTACCAAGTGGATTGATGGGGCCAGTGACCTTCAGAGGCCCCCAGGGGTCACGGGCAGCAGGTTTTGGTTCTCTCAGGGCCTCTGCAGAACTGTAGTAAGAATCCCACACCGGCCGAAACCAGTTTGGCTCAGTGGATAGAGCATCAGCTCTGTCAAGGGCATGTACGTTGTTTACAGGCACATCCCCAGTAGGGGGTGTGCAAGAGGCAGCTGATTGATGTTTCTAACTCTCTATCCCTCTCTCTTCCTCTTGGTAAAAAAATCAATAAAATGTATTTCAAAAAAAAAAAAAAAAAAAAAAAAAGAATCCCACATCAAATTCCCTTCTCAACTTGAAATCTTCAGAGCAAAAGCTAGAATCTAATCTTCCCCTCTTCTCCAAACCCTCTGTGGCCTCATAGTCTGAACTGTGTAGATCCGCAGCATGGTCAAGGGCCCAGAAGGTTAAAAGAGCTTTGCTTCCCACCCTCAGAGTCTGTCACCGCTGTGGCCCACAACCCGGAAAAATGGCGTGTGCTCCACCAAACGCTGGCTACACCAGTAAGGCTTCCACCCAAAAGGGGAAAAGGGAAAATCACCAATCTTCCATAATAAACCCATACTGATCTCCATAGCTTTTAACAAGAATATTTGTGCCGAAACCGGTTTGGCTCAGTGGATAGAGCGTCGGCTTGTGGACTGAAAGTCCCAGGTTCCATTCTGGTCAAGGGCATGTACCTTGGTTGCAGGCACATCCCCAGGAGGGGGAGTGCAAAAGGCAGCTGATCGATGATTCTCTCTCATCAATGTTTATAATTCTCTATCCCTTTCTCTTCCTCTCTGTAAAATATCAATAAAATATATCTAAAAAAATATTCATAATGTAAACCCAATGAATGACTTTTATTTATTTATTTATAAATGTATTTTATTGATTTTATACAGAGAGGAAGGGAGAGAGAGTCATCAATCAGCTGCCTCTTGCACACCCCCCACTGGGGATATGCCCGCAACCAAGGTACATGCCCTTGACCGGAATCGAACCCGGGACCTTTCAGTCCCCAAGCCGACGCTCTATCCATTGAGCCAAACCGGTCCTGGCCCAATGAATGACTTTTAATCAGCAAATGGTCAAATGCCTGCCTCCTCATTTGCGATGTATTTCCCCCCAAGGGCTGAGGTCCCTGCAGGTTGGGCCTGGGAAGGCCCCAAGCCATCACGTTAGGTCTGGCCAACCTCCCAGGCTTCTTCCAACAGCCAGATGGGAAGGCGGCAGGTTTCCTCCGACTCCTGGGTTAACCAAAGGGAAGACCTTTCTTCCAGGCATCAGGGTAAGGCCTGGGGCAGGGAGGCAGAGGTTTCCCTGACCAGCTCCTCGCCTTGCTTCTTGTTCCAGGTTCTCCCCGCCCATTCTTGGGCGGGTGCCAGGGTTCTAGAAAGGGGATAGGGGGCCGGGTTCTAGAATGGCTTTTCCTGGAGATCACATTGGAAGGGCATCTTGTCACGTGAGAAGGGCCTCCTGGGCACCGGCTGGGAATAAATCGCCTTGCCCCTGGCCGCTTCCCCTGCAGATTGCTGCTGCTTTTCCTGGCTGCCCCCTCCTTCCCTCCAGCAGAGAATTCTGGCAGCCTCATAGGCCTTTGGTGCCTTGGTTTCCCCCTTCTGACAACCCATCCTCCCCACCCCCCGCTTCAGGCATGAACCTGTCCCACATCATTGTGCTCCTGTGGGCATGCGGGAGGCTCCGGGCCTTTGAAATCGTGGAGAAGGAGAACATCTTTCAGAGGACCCCCTGCCCTGCCTTCCTGATGTTCGATAACGCGGCCTACCTGGCCGACATGAGCTTCGAGCTGCCCTGCCACTGCAAGCCCGAGGAGGTGCCCGCCGTGGTCTGGTACTACCAGGAGCGCCTGGGCGGCGGCCGCACCAGGGTGCTGACGGACTTCGACGGGCAGGTGCTGACGGCCGCGTCCCACGTGCGGGTGGGCAGCGACCTGCTGGTGCGCTTCAGCATCCGCATGTTCAGCCTGCTGGTGTTCCGGGCCCAGCCCGAGGACTCGGGCCTGTACTTCTGCGGCAGCCGCAGCGGGGACTACTTCTACGCCTACGACGTGGACATCCAGAGCAGCGAGGGCATGGTGGCCACCTTCAGGGACCTGGGCCAGGAGCCCTTTGCGGACGCGTACCGGGGGAGCCTGCACGTCTTCACCACCTTCTGGGAGTGGACCCCCTGTGACCGCTGCGGGGTGCGCGGGGAGCAGTGGCGCATTGGCCTCTGCTACCTGCAGAGCCCGGACCTCTCGCCACGCTACCGCAAGACGATGCCGGACGTGGTGTCCTGCGGCTCCCGGGCCGTGCCACGGAAGCTCCAGGCCCAGGCCAGGGACCACCCCCCCGAGCTGCTGGTGCAGAGCTGCAGGGTGCCCTGCAGGAACACCACGAAGGTCCGGGGGAAGCTGATGGCCATTCTGAACTACGTGTCCAAGGTGGGCAAGCGGCCCTGGCTGCCCGGGGTGCCCATCCAGTACCACCAGCAGAGGCTGAGTCACGGGCTCGTCATCTCCTGCCCCGGGGCCCGGCCGGAGCAGGCCGTGGCCTGGGACAAGGACAGCCAGCACCTGTACCGCACGCAGTACCTGAAGGGCACCAACCGGTCCATGAGGGTGTTCATCGACCACGGCAACCATCTCCACATCCGCTTCACCCAGCTGGACGACAGGGGCATCTACTACTGTTGGCGGCAGGGCGAGCGGGTGGCCGGCTTCCGGCTGGGCGTGGCCCCCCGGGGGCGCTACAAGGTCTCGTTCTCCGACCCGGAGGTCCGCTCGGCCCTGGAGCTCACCCTGGTCGGGTTCCTGCTCCTCACGGCCGTCTTCATCACCGTCCACCTCTGGCGCTGCTGCTGTTACGTGTTTCGCTGTTGTCCCAGCTTCTCTCGCTAGGTTCTCCCTCTACCTTCTCTGAAGACCCGTGGGGCTCCCATGTGTTTGTTAAATGATTCCAGATGCTTCTGGGATGTGGGCCAGGGTGTGCGAACAAGTGTGTTAGTCACATCCTGCTCCCCGTTTTCGTGGGCGCCTCTGGGACCTGACCTGGGACGCGGAGACGCCTGGGGCAGGCGGGACATGGGGACGGAGGCTCTGATGGAAGTGGCCGAGGTGCACGTGGCTTCTAACTCCATCACGTCAGAGGAGGAGGGAGGGAACCTCGTAGTTATTAAATGGCCTATTCAGTATTGAACGGTGTTGGAGGTGCTTTCTTTTCTTGCCTTTGAGGACTTGCCAAGTAGATGCTGGTTAAATCAGGGGTGTCACGGAGAAGAAGGAAGAAGAGTGGGGGAGCCACGTATCGGTCCTCTCTGCCTTCCTCCCAGCCTCGTCCTGGGACCGGCTGGTAGAGAGGTAAAGACTAGGACAGGGGAAATGGGTGAGGAAAATGGAGGTCAAATTCAGGACTCTCCTGAGAGACTGCACCCACGCTGGAGACTAGGGGTGAGAAGAGGGGCTGGGAGCACAGGCGGGGGAGGAGGGAGGAGTGGGGGGAGACACTGCTAAGGCAGAGCAAGGTTGGAGGAGGGATTTGTCATGCGGCGGCTGCCATGGGGGAATGTTGAGCTCTGGAGATTGAGTTTCTTGTTGAGTTCACAAGGAGCAAGTTGGGTCTTGTGCAAGGTTCCTTGCTGCTCCCTCCCCACGGCCCCAGCTTCTGAACAGATCAGAGTCCACTCGGAGGGAGGCCACAGCAGTTGGCTTTATTTAGCTCAGTAGCTAAAGGCATGCGTGGGTGGCAGGAGGGAGTCAGAGAAAAGGCACCAAGCCTTGGAAAGAGAGTCCCATCGCTCCCTCCCATTAGCCTTACAGGGAAGAGGGGGACCCTGGAGTGGGTCCTCTCAGCCCCATTTCTGGGCACACACAATCCCATGCTCCCCACAGTCCTCCCGTGGAAAGCGGAGCAGACGCTCTGGGTGGAAGTGTGTGCCCCTTTCCAGGCTGTAGCAACCCAAACCAGGGTCTTCACTCTGCTCGTGCCTCCGTTTCCCGAATTATGAAATACAGTGCTGCCTGGAATACTGGGTACATTTTGCATTTGAGTCAGAGGGGACCGCAGGGCCCTTAGGTGAGGGAAAGCATCAGGTCACTGTGAGGCGCAGACAGGCAGGTGGAGTGCGCTGGCCTCACCCAGCTGTGTTTGCTGGGTTGGGAGGCAGCAGCTGCAGGGGCTCAGAGGCTTCGGGTGGACGGGGATTATGCAGCAAGAAAGGGGACTTAGACCCGGAACAAAGTGTCCTGCCCCTGTGGACCACAGCTCCCTTTTGTCTTATTTCAGCATCTTCCAGAGAATGCATCACTTCCTTCATCCCCACGACCCAGAGGCCAAGGATAGCAGGTCATCCACAACCCCAACTCTGATGTCCAGCATCCTCCCCCCTCCCTCCTCCATCTTTACCCACCTCCCTCCCCCGGCCTATATGGGGGAAGACCTCCCGGGCTTGACCTCTATGAACCCAGGGGCCAAGCAGCCCCCTCAACTCCTTCCCGGCACCACTGCCCTCTCTACATAGACTAAGATCCCCTCGTGCTGAGGATCAGGCTCCCACCTGCCCACATGGCAGCTCAGTGAGGCTGAGACACTGGAATCGACACTGAGTCCTCATCCTCTCTGGAACCCGGGCAGGCCAGGCCTCCTGTCTGCTGAGGACGCCAGGTGGCAGGATACCCCGCCTGCTCTCCGGCTGGCCAGGGTCGGTCTAGATTAAGAATGAGCCGCTGGCCAGGGCTGTCTTGCCTGGGAGGACTTCCCCTTCCTGTCTCAGTCTCCATCTTCCTCCGGCAGCCCCGAGGAAACTCCAAGGCCCACTTCCCAGATGGCCCGGAGACTTCCAGCGCTGACAACCGTTGCCATGACAACAGGGATTGGGCTCCGGAGAGTGATTTATTGGGTCTCAAGTCCCTCCCCAACTTCTCTCGTCCCTTCCCATTCTAACCCGAGCTTCTGGCCATGCCCCTCCAGGCTGCCCCTTTGGGGTGAGTGCCCTTTTAGATGGAGATGCTGGGAGTGGGGTGGGTACTGTCTGGAGGGCCTACTGCTGATGGAGCCTAGAGCAAAAGCTGGCACAGAGACGTATTGAGGTGGTGGGAGCCCAGGTCTGGGGAAATCAGCTGTCAGAGGAGGGGCAGCTATCCTGTTTACTGCTGCAGGCCCCTCCCGACATGGGACAGGAGCCTCCAGAAGGTTCCCGCCTCACATCACGTCCTTGTGCTCCTGCTTGGACTCCTTAATGACCTGCAGGGGACAGAGAAGGTGCACAGGGCCACTGTCAGGCGCTCACACAGACCTGGGCCCACCACCGCCAGGCCCCCAGACTCCCTGGGTCTTTCCTTCCTAATGGTAGGAACCGGAACTCCCTCAGCAGCAGGCAGAGGGTGAGGTCACACCTGAACATCATTTAGCACACGGTGAGCTGATGGTGTGAAATTAACTAGTGCTGCTGTTGGCGTGCGGGGAATGCCAAATCCCCCTTTCCCATTCCTGTGCAAGGTTCCTTTAACCAAGCTGGTGAAAACGGCTAACTTCTTTAATTTCCTTTCTCCACCCCAGGCCTGGCGCTGGGGCACCTGAGTTAGGGTGAGAACGGGAGAAAGCCCAAGTCAGGACCCGTCCAGTGGTCTAGGCGCCCGGGCTTCCCTCAGAGTGGCCAGCGGAGGGGGTGGGGAGTTTAATGACATCCAGGTTCCTTTCCCTCTTCCAGAGCCTCCCTGGAGAGCCCGCGTGGGTTATCGAGAACCTTCTGTGTGCCCGCTCGGGCTTCATCCCAGAGCCTGGCCTCAGGAATCCCTGGGGCAGCCAGAGCCGAGGGGCCAGAATCTCAGGGCTGCTGTCCTCACCTCTCCATCCCGCATCTCCACCGTCTTCACCACGATGTTCCTCTTGAGATGGCCCTCAGACACGGACTTGGTGTCCAGGCTGGTTTCTGTGGGTGTGAGGAGAGGAGGCCTCCTGTGGACACTAGTCATCCTCTGCCACACCGGCTCCCTGCCACAGCCAGAGCACGAGGACGGAAGCCTGCCCAGCCACAGGGAGGGCCAGGCTCTTCCAAAGGGGCTGGCGACCCCCACGTCCCCACTGTGCCCTGCTGGCTCTCCTGGCCTGGCTGCGTTCCAGTCCCTCTGTAAGCCCTTGTCGGGGACCTGGCTCTCTGACCACACAGCACTGTGTCGAGGAAGGAGCACGTGGGCTTTGAAATCAGGCAGGCCAGAGCCCGAGGCCCAGGTCAGCCACACGACTGTGGGCAAGTGACTTCACCTCTCCCAGCCTCCGTTTCCTCACCTGTAAAATAGGGGCATGGTGCCTACCTCTCTAGGTGGGAGCGAGAAGTCGATTCGCTGAAACAATGTATGTTAAGTGATTGGCTCAGTACATGGGGTCCCTTTTCCCCTTTCCTACTTCTCTCTGCCTCTTCTCTGGGCCCTAACGGCCCTTTACTGTCTGAGACTCGGTAGTATTACCTCTAGGTGGTCCCTCCTGACCCCCCCGCCCCCGTTAACTTTTCTGATGCTGAACTAAGTCCTGGGACACACACATCTACTTCCTAAATGTAGAAGAAGACCCCCCTGCACCCCCTGTAGCTGAGAATCATCGGAGGCCCTCATACAAGTAAGAAGTAATTAAGCTTTCCCCCTCAGAGAGAAACATGGAACACTAATATTTAGAATTAAGAGCAGGGAATGTGAAACTTTATTCACTACAAGGGCAGCGGTCCAGGGGGAAATAATCCTCTGGGCTGAATCAGCGCTGAGCTGAGCATCGGAGCCTCAGGGACAGATGGTCAAGCAGAGACTTGCCATTGGGTGCAGAGAGGCCCGAGGGGCCCTCTCCGATGGGTAAGGAGGGAGGCAGGGGCTGCCTGTGCTCAGAGGCCCCAGAGCAGCTCATCTGAGCATCTGAGGACACATCTCCCCGAATACCAGCCGGGCTGCTAGCGTAACCTCCATTTCCCCTGTGCCAGGTCCTGAGCCGGGCACTGAGGCTGCTGGGAAAATGGGGAACCCGGGAGGAGGGAGCCCAAGAGGATGGGGAGCATGGGCTTGGGGGGCTCCCTCCCTGCCACGCGGGGGAAAGCACCGTGTCTGAGAGGCAGGAGCTAACCGAGAGCCGGCGGGGCTCCGTCTACAGGCGGGGGAGCCTGGATTGGGATAACCTGAACTGTGAGGCTTTTGAGGTGTCTTGTGACCGTGTGACCTTCCCCTCCTCGGGTGCCTCTGCCCCCTGCAGTGACAAGCAGTTGGAAAAACAAAAACATGAAACGCTCAGATGGGCAGAGGATCTGCAAGGGCTGAGGGGTCTGCAGACAGAACAGAGGTCGAGACCCTCACCCAATTCTGTAGGGAACGGGGCGCAGGGGTGAAAGCGGGGCCCAGGGCAGAGCAGGACGAGAGTGGCTGCAAGCCCCGCCCGAAACGCCCTGGACTGGTGTGTTCCGGCTGGAAACTCACGGTGAATCACGAAGGCCCTCGAGGGGGTCCCTCCTCCCCCGTCCTTTTACCCAGGTTCTCAGCCCCAGGCCACTCTACTGACCTCGGATCTGCAGGTTGGAGAAGGTCTGCACCGGGATGGTGATGCTGAAAGACAGCAGAGGGAGCGCAGTGACCGGGCCGTCCCAGGCCAGGCCCTGCCTCAGGGTTAGGACAGCCTCAGGGAGCGCCTTTCCCGATTCCCCTCAGCGGCCAGCACGCCGTGGAGCTCCCAGAGTCTGCCAGGGGCGTGGGTGTGATCTGTGCACATCTCCATGCCATGGAGGATGTGGACGTGGAGGATGGCAGAGGGGAGGGCAAAGGCAGTTCTGAGGAGGCACAAAAGACAGGTCAGGGGGAAAGAAGTCCCATTATTGTTGGGAGGTTGGGGAAATGAGCCTTTTAGTTTAGTCCTTGCCCTGGGACCTAATCAACACCGGTTGAATTGAACCCATTCACTCACTCACTCATCAAACACTTATTGAATGCCTCCTGTGTGTCCTGGGCGCCCCGCGCCGGGCCCTAGGTGAGGAGAGGGCTGGCAGCCTCACCGGTTCTCCTCGCCCTCCAGCAGCTTCCTGTAGGTGGCGATCTCCATGTCCAGGGCCAGCTTGATGTTGAGCAGGTCCTGGTACTCCTGCAGGTGGCGGGCCATCTCGTCCTTGAGGCTCTGCCCCTCCTCCTCCAGCCGGGCCAGGGCCTCCTGGTAACTCGCCACCTCCCGTGCCTGCCGCTCCTCCTGCTCCCGCATCTGCCGCTCCAGGGACTGGTTCTGGGGGGTGGAAGCCGGCCGGTCCCTTGAGGCACCGAGGCACCGAGGCACCGGCTCGCCCTTGGATGGGACCAACTGGGGAGGCATTGGAGGCCCTGCGCCCAGCCCCGGTCCCACCCTGGGCCCCTCTCCTCCAGCATCCCTGGGGCTGGCACGTCCCCTCCTCCTGCTCGCTCGCCAGCCCCAGTCGCTGCCCCCGTCCACCGGCCCGGCTCTGCTCGCTCACCGTGCCCCGCAGGGACTCCAGGTCGCAGGTCAGAGCCTGCAGCTGGTGCCGGTAGTCGTTGGCCTCCTGCTTGGCCCGGCGGAGCAGCTCGGCGTTGCGGGCAGCAGCGTCTGTCAGGTCCGCAAACTGGATGGGGAAGAGGGCCTTATGCAGCCGCCTGTGGGGAGCTGTGTGGGCCTGAGGGAAGGCAGAGGTCTCTGGGAAATCGGGGAGGACCCCAGGGGTTGTGGTGCAGGTCACTCCAGGACACCGGGTGGGGTTATTTCCAGAGACTGTGACCCCTGGGTAGCAGACACAGAAGCCACTGCTGGGTCCTCAGCACCCAGCACAATGCCGGGTCAGGGAATGAATGAATGAATGAATGAATGAATGAATGGACAGAATTGTCACAGAACCCAGAATCTCCTGCACTGGCACCTCCATCTATGGGCCTAAACCCTGTTTCCCCCACCTGGACAGTCATGGGTTCTAATTGCCCGCCCGCCCCCAGCTGGCAGCGAAGCCCTCAGGGCTCCACCAGGCCGCGGTCTGCCACTCACTCCCCTCAGCTCTGGTGTCCTGGGCCAGCACCTCCGGCCCCACCTCTCTGTGCCTTTCTGCCTCCAGCCTCTGCACATGCTCTGTCCTGTACTTGGAACGCCCCTCCCCTCTTCTCTTCATGGCCTGCCCCTCCTGCTTAGGCCAGTTGCCCTCCTTCTATGACACCCTCCCTGGTCCCCGCCTTGTATGTAGACGCTGCCCTGCAGAGTTGTCGATGGACACCACTTGGGTGCCCATCCCATCTTCCTGGTCAGACATGTCTCTGCAGCCTAGGCAGTGCCTGGCATGCAGCACATGCTCATAATCCAAGGCACAGATGGCAGAGGCAACAAGAATGCAGGCTCCTTGCCGAAACCGGTTTGGCTCAGTGGATAAAGCGTCAGCCTGTGGACTGAAAGGTCCCAGGTTCGATTCCCGTCAAGGGCATTACCTTGGTGGTGGGTACATTCCCAGTAGGGGGTGTGCAAGAGGCAGCTGATCAATGATTCTCTCTCATCGATGTTTCTAATTCTCTATCCCTCTCTCTGTAAAAAGTCAATAAAATATATATATTTTTTTTTAAAAAAGAAAAGGATGCAGGTTCCCAAGTGAGTTGGCTCGGGTTGGAAAGCTAGCTCAACCGCTTAGAAGCTGTGTGTCTTTGGGCGAATGAGTTAACCTTTCTGGACTCCAGTTTTCTCATCTATCGAAGCACACTTCATAGTAAGACAATCTACACAAAGCACAGGGCCGGACACACGACAGTGTTGTCAAATAGTAATAGTAACAGTGGCCATAAGTTCTTATTAGAATATTGTCTCTGGGATATTAGAATATCCTCCCTTGTCTGGTGAATGTCAGTCACCCAGAGAGGATCCTCTCCCAGCTTCCTCCACCCTCCTTTCCCTGAGTGCCTTGTGTGGAGCCAGGAGGACTGCCTGGAGGAGGCAGGCTGGCCTGCAATCAGGGTTACCTTGGACCGATACCACTCCTCTGCCTCGTGCATGTTGCTGGACGCCACTGCCTCGTACTGGGTGCGGATCTCTCTCAGGGCCGCGGTGAGGTCTGGCTTGGCCACATCCAGCTCCACATGGACCTGCTGCCGGGCCAGCTGTCCCTGGAGCTCCCGCACTTCCTGGTCGGGCGAGAGAAGGGAGAGCAGGGCTCCGAGCCCAGGCCACAATCGGGGTTTCCCGACTGCCTGCCTATCGGACATCGATGCTGGCTAAGGGAAATGGGACAGCCCTAGTCGGAGGAAGTGCACGGTCCAGGCTCATGGTTTCCTCTCCCTGGGAGGCAGGAGCACGAAAAGTGTACCCGTGTCATTATGTGTGAGTGTGTGAGTTCCTGTGCGTGTGTGCCCGTGGGTCATGGATGCTGAATCCATGAGCTGAGGTCAGAGCTAATTGGGATCTGTTTCCTTATGAATGGTTCTCGGTCAAATGGCGACAGATGGCAGGATGAATGGAGTCAGAGAGACTGTGTGGTTTTTAGCAAGTTCTTTAATGTCTTTGGTCTGTGTAAAGGAGATTATACGGAAAGGTCCCCTCCCACAGGGCTGTAGAGAAGAGAAAGAGGTCACAGAGCTTTTGTAATGCTCAATGAGTGGAGTGTGTCTCTGCGCATTTACCAGGATTGTTGATGCTCTCATGTCTGCCTCTATTTCTGTCTTCCTCGATTTCTCTTTTTGTTTTTAATCCTCCCCTCCCGCCCCAGTTCCAATCTTTGTGTTGAGCTTTACCTCTTCATGGATCTTCCTCAAGAACTGGATTTCCTCCTCCAGAGACTCAATCTTCCTCTCCAGATCCAGCCGGGCCAGGGTGGCTTCATCTGCCTCCTGGAGCAGGGAGGAGGCAGAGGGCCACTCTGATCCCAGACTCTCCCCCCCCCCCCATTCCCTAGCCTTGTCTGTCCCCCCCTTCGGGGGCTGGGAGAGCAGCACATTGCTCAAGAGGGCTGGCGGGGGCCCGTGTTTGGTGGGCTGTCACCAATCCTTCCCCCTTCCTGAGCCCCATCCCCCAACTCCCCTGACCTGTCGATAGGCGGCCAGGTTGTTCTCCGCCTCCAGCCTCAGGTTGGTTTCATCCTGGAGCCTGGGGTGGGGGGACACAGTCCTGGGTCCATGCTCTTCTGAGGACTCTTGGACCCCTTTCCCAATCCAGAGGGCACCCCCCAACCCAGGACTGGGGGGGGGGCGAAGGAGAGCCTTGGCCAGGAACGTGGGCAGATGAGGGCCTTTGCTCTAACTCATTACTAAGGTGCCCTGTCAGGGTTGCTGCACCTGCTCCTGCTCACATAGGCACTTCCACCAACACACACACACACACACACACACACACACACACACACACACACACACACACACGTCCTCCTGCCCTTGAGGGCACGCACGCATGCCCAGCTGGCTCAGCAAAGCACCAAGCCCCTGGGGTGCTCCCTGGCTTTTGGAAATGGGTGTTATTAAGATCTCTGCTGCACAGCTGTGCAAGGTGAAGCCTTGCTAGGATCCTAAGCTGGTGACAGACAAAGTCCCCTGTGTTCCGAATCCGGGCTTTCCTCCTCTTCCCCCCCCCCCCCCCAGCCCGATCCTCCTTGGGCACCCCAGCCTTCCCTTCCCTCTGTGAACCTGGGCTCAGAATAGGTGCACTCCCCGCCCACAGGGCCCCAGCGTGAATGAAGCACACAGCCTGCCTGCTGGGACCCCTCACTGCTCTAGCACAGACTCCCCAGGGGCAGGTGCTGAGCGTACCCTCTTTCCTGGCAGAAGGTCTTGGGGAATCAAATCCCCGAGGCCCTGAGCCTCCTCCCAGTCCCTGCCATCCTTTGGGGAGCAGGGACAGCCCTCCCTTCCCAGAGAGGTGGAAACCAGGGAGCAGGGGTCCTCCCGGCTCATGAGGCCCCTCCCCCAGGCCCCCTCCTCACTTCTGCCGCAGGGCGCCCAGGTCCTGTGCCAGGTTGTCCCTCTCCACCTCGAGCCGGGCGCCGTTGGCGGTGAGGTGATCAAGCCGCAGGCGCAGCTCCCGCAGCTCGGCCTGGTAGACGTCGGCCAGCTTGGTGGGCTCCTTGGCCCGCAGCTGGTTCAGCTCCGCGGCCAGCGCCTTGTTCTGCTGCTCCAGGAAGCGCACCTTCTCGATGTAGCTGGCGAAGCGGTCATTGAGCTCCATCATCTCCGCCCGCTCGCTGGCCCGTGTCTCCTTGAAGCCGGTGTTGAGGGCCCCGGCCAAGGAGAAGTCCACCCGGGCCGGCAGTGGGGGCGGCATGCGAGCCAGGGAGAAGTGGGTGCCGGGACCCCAGCGGCGGCTGGGAGCCAGGCCCCCCACCACCATCTCGGAGGAGGAAGCAAAGGAGCGGCGGGCAGCCGAGGTGACCCGTCTCCTCTCCATCCTGGCCTGGCTCTGCCGGCTCCCGGGATGCGAGGAGGGCTTTATGAAGGAAGGGGCTGTCTTGACCCACCCAGATTGTCCCTGGAAACACCCCCTGGCATAGCCTGAGGAGGTGGGGCTGGGTTGCAGCCCAGCCATGGGGAGACTTCTTCTCACCCCACTGAGGTCATTGTACCCAGAGGCAGGGCCTCCTGGGTGTGCCAGCCCCAGCCTGGCCAAAGTCAGAGGTACTGGTGGGCAATGTCTGGGGCCAGATGCTGGGTCTGAGGCCCAATCACTGGGCAAGGAGACCCTCTCTCTAGGAAGGTGGGTTAAGAAAAGGTTGGACCAGGTGACCTTTGACCTGCCTGCTAACTCTTGGGCTCCATGACCCAGGCCTTCCCTCACTCAGCACTGCTCCTTCCAGTGCCTGATGGGTGCTGTGAATGTGACAAAGAACAAACCTGTTCCATACCCTTAAGGAACAGCCAATGTTACAGTTTCTTCTTTAAAAAAAAAATATATATATATTATATATATATTATATATATATATAATATATATATATAATTGATTTTTTACAGAGAGAGTTAGAAACATCGATGAGAGAAAAACATCAATCAGCGGCCTCCTGCACACCTCCTACTGGGGATGTGCCCACAACCAAGGAACATGCCCTTGACCGGAATCGAACCTGGGACCTGCAGGCTGACGCTTTATCCACTGAGCCAAATCGGCTAGGGCTGTTGCAGTTTCTTGCCAAGCCAATTCCCAACCGATAGCTGGAGTCCGTTCCTGCGAATTCAGGCATCCCGCACTCCTGCTTTCTTCCCATTCCCTGGAGTTCCGGGGCTGGGACTGAAATTGCTCCCCGGCCTTTTGTCTGGGGCAGCGATTGCCAACCGGTGGTCTGCAGACTGCTGGTGGTCCGTGAGGTCTGAAAGGTGGGTGACCACTGGCCTGGAGGGTCAACTGAGGCCTCTTTCTAGCAGTGGGGGATGATGAAAGGAACTTGGGGTCCTGCTAGGGCAAGAGGGGGCAGGCACTGCACTCTATGGCCCTTTCCCAGCCTCAGTCTCACAGGGCTCACCCTTCTGCGCCCAGCTTCCCGGCATCCCCTCCCGGAGCCCAGGCCTTGACAGCTCCACAAAGCAGTTATGAATGAGCTGGCTGTCCCTACTCCCATCTTTGTTCCTGTAATACCCTGTTTCCCTGGCCACCCCTCACCTCCCTCTCACACTGGAGATTCATCTCCTTCGAGTTCACACACATCAGGTTGAGAAGACGGGGAAAGGCCTCTAGGAATAGGTGGGTTTGGGAACCCAGGAGCCAGTGCTTCCAAACTGGAAACCTGGGCCCGGGCCCTGTTGCCCCTTGAGACTTCAAATCCACCTACGCCTTTTACTCTGGTCCCACGGGGTCAGCACCCCACCCATCTGTGTCCTTGGACTTCTGGGAAGTGGGCAGCCTTCTTCCCACCCCCGCTCCGCCTGCTGCCCCTGCCCGGGCCTGTGAGCCCTTTTCCTGGGCACTTGCTGAATGGAGCCTTGTTCTCCGCCGCCAGGGAGGGCGCCGCACGCACGGGGAGGGCAGCCCGCAGGGGGCTGTGCTGCTTTTATCCTGGGATGTCAGGCTGTGAGGCAGGGCACTGCCCACACCCCCCGCTCAAAGGATTTCTCAGAAAGCAACTGATGGGGCTGGCGTGGAGTGGGAAGCAGGCTCCGTGCCCACCCCAGACCATTGTGACTGTGCCAAGGTGAGTCATTCAGTGGGCACGAGGGGGAAGACCCTGGGGGTGGCCAACCCAGCCCTGCCAGGTCTCCAGCTCTGCAGACAGGGCCTGGCTGCTCGCCCCCTCCCCAGCTCTCAGAGGCGGCTCAGGCCCCTGTGCTGGGACTCACAGGGGGAAACCCCGGCAGGCAGCCCATAACGTGCCCGCATGGAAAGCGTATTTCCCAGCATCCTGTGTGTGAGTCCCAGCACAGGGAGAGGAGGGAAGAGGCCCCAGGTCTTAGCCGCATCTGACCCCAGGGCTTGAGCAGTTTCTTGGCGAGGGAATCCTGAAGGGGATGCTAGTGATTTTTGATCTTGTCATGGGTGGAGAGACATTATTTGTATTGCACATTCAGTGTAGAAAAATCAGAAAACACAGATACTCAGAATAAAAAAAAAATTGAATTAGCTATAATTTTTGCCACCTGGAAATAAATACTCCCAGACCCCCACTCCCAACACACACATATATAAAGTCATGTTTTCACAAGGGGGCTCATGTTGTACAACTTATTTTGTAATTTGCTTTTTGCACTCAGTGTGCTAGGAACATTTTTCCATATCAATAAATATGTATCTAGCATGGCCGGTGGTGCTCAGTGGTTGAGCACCTATGGACTAGGAGGTCATGGTTTGATTCCCAGTTGGAGCACATGCCTAGATTTCAGGCTCAGTCCCCAGTAGGAGGCGTACAGGAGGCAGCGGGTCAACGATTCTCTCTCGTCATTGGTATTTCTCTCTTTCCCTCTCCCTTCCTCTCTCTGAAGTCAATGAAAACATATTAAAAAGTATAAATAAAAATAATATTTATCCACATCTGTGGAGCGCGGCTACAGCGTTTGGACAGGTTCAAGCCTCAGACCTGGAGTGGCAAAGCCACGTGCAAGTCCCAGCACAATTGAATTGGCCCTCCCAGCACAATGATAGCCAAAGGCTATCGCTGTAAGCTTGACCTTATGGTCCGAACCTGTGGGCCCACGTGGCTGAGTGAGATGGGCTGCGGGAGGTGCAGCAAGTAAACAAAGCTTGATCAGGTGCATGTCATTGAATAGATTGGAAACCCAGGAGAACATTGTAAACATCTTGTAATGTTTACTTTGCCTCGTGGAATCTGGCTGAAAAATAAAGACTCGGTTTGCAGGCTGTGGTATTGTCTCTCCATCAGAGAGGGAGTGTCCCCCCGTAGCCCCAGCTTTATTTTCTTGTCTGTCTTCTCCATCCTTCACTGCCCCCTCTCAGGTTCACCCATGGCTGATGGCTGTGCTGGCTTGGCACATATATCATCATTTTAAGAGCTGTATGGTTTTCTTCTATATGCATTAATTTAACTAAATCCTATTAGACAGTTGTGTTCTCTCCCCCCTCTCTTCTCCCTCTCTGCACACACACACACACACACACACACACAAAATGATGCATATCTGCCTCAGGCAGACACAGCTCCCAGCCTCCACTGCTACTTGCATCCTCCTGGACTGGCTCAGGTCCCAGCTACATGGTGTTTCCTCTCCTGCTTCGCCAACCTCAGGGCCTCAACATCTAAAGCCTCAAGCCAATCCCTAGACCAGTGGTCAGCAAACTGTGGCTCATGAGCCACATGCGGCTCTTTGGCCCCTTGAGTGTGGCTCTTCCACAAAATACCATGTGTGGGTGCACACACAGTGAGACTGAAACTTCGTGGCCCATGCGCAGAAGTCGGTTTTCGGCTCCCCAAAAGAAATTTCAATCATTGTCCTGTTGCTATTTGGCTCTGTTGACAAATGAGTTTGCTGACCACTGCCCTGGACCAACTTCTTTACTGGACAGCGGACAGCTGTGGGCGAGGATGCCCGAATACCCCTCCACAGGGCCTTCAGCCGAGCCGTGCCCTACTTCAAGTTGAAGTAGATATAAGATGACCTTCTACGCCCTGCACCCCCACCCCTGAGTCATAAATCTGTCAAGATGCCCGTCTGCCCACAGGCCCCACATGTCTCTCAGGACAGGCCAACACTACACCTGGCCTCAACCCATACACGAGGTGCCCAGTGTTTTCCAGATTTGCCAACCTCTAATTCAAGTGGCTGTTTGCCACTAGATGGCCGCCCACTGGCTCCCGGTGCCCGCCCAGCACGGTGGGTAGCAAGCGTAGGTGGGATTAAGAGAACGAGTCTCTCTGGCTGACTCCTGGTGCACCACTCCGTGTGTCCATTCCCTGGCCCGTCTCTGAGGAAGGGAACCGGGCCCTGGTGGCCACTAGATGGCAGTGCTCAGCTTACCAGGTCTGGAGGCAGCGAAAGAGGGGGGACTCACCCAGAGGCATCACCCCCTTTATTTTCCAGAGCGGCCTCTGACTGCTGCGGCAATGCCCTCCAGGGAAAGAGCAAGGCTGTGGCTACTCACTAGCTGTATGGTCTTGGCTGACTTACGGTCCCGTCTCTGAGTCTCCATTTCCACATCTGTAAAATGGGGACTAGCCATACTCACTTCCAAGGCAGCTGTGAGGGTAAAATCAGTGAAAGCCGGACGCAGTGGGTGCTTGATAAACCAGAGCTCCCATTTAATAACACCTACTAGGTGATTTACAGATCTACATGTGAGCACGTTTGTGATGGGGTGGGCCCGGATTGGAAGCTGGGTCCACGGGGAGAGGGGCTGCCATGCCCAGTTGCCTTCACGGTAGGTGGAGCAGGGGCCGTGTGTTCCCACCTTCCACACTGGGCAGCCAGTTGGCACTGTGGACAGGACGCAGGGGGCGGCAGCAGCAGCCGGTGAGGACAGGGTGGGAGTCAGGTCTGTTCGCCCCTCGCTCAGCACCGTTTGCCCCTGGCTTTGGGTTTCCCCGGGGACACGTGTAAGCTCCCTCCAACTGCCCAGGAGGAACTCCCCGTGGAGGCTGTCTCCCAGTGTTCCTGGCTTCCCTGACTCCTCCTCTCTTGCCCTTCCCTGGCCCTAGACTAGAGGTCCCAGCTCCATTGAGTTTGGGAAGCTCTTGGGGTGGGGCTGGCTCTTCTGCACCTCAGCCCGCTTCCCGAGGAGAAGGGCCACGCCTTCCCTCATGGATGGGGGCTTCCGAATGCTGGGACCTGGACCAGACTGGGATCACCCTAAGGATGAGGTCTACTTCCCCCTTCAGACTAAGGTACCCACAGGACAGGAGCCACCCTCTCCCCATGGGTGGGAGCTCCCTGATCGGAGAACCCATGGTTGACTGTCAGCGGGAGGCCCCTTGAGGGCAGAGGTTATCTCCTTCCATTTGGAGGATGGCTGCCCCAGGCCAGGGTAGGTTGCTCTGCCATCCACAGCCTGTGCCCAGCCAGCCTCTGCTGGTTAGAAGCACCAACTCCTGTGACTGCAGAAGGAGTCCTGGATGCACACCCCCCCACCCCCACCCCCGTCTCCTTCCCCTTCCTCTTCCCTGCCGCCTCTCAGCACGTCGTCATGTGAAGCATCATCAATTCACTCACCTGCACAGACCCAGGGGCCAGGCTGCTTCATTGGGGTTAATAAGCTCGAGCTCTTTCTTTCCCCTTTCTCCCCCCTCCCAGCCAGGGCTCACTCCAGCCTCCCCATCCCTCACCTCTCACCCCGAGACCCACTTTTTAATTGCTTTCTCCCCGATCTGCTCTGCTCCTCGCTCCCCTCCATCTCCCTGCCTGACTGCATCCCTCTGGGAGGGCGAGAGGCGGGGACCAGATGTGTCCCCGGCTGGAGAGGGCTGGCGGGCAGTCTGTTATTTCCAACCCAGTGGTCCTCCAAATGGACAGATGAGCCAGGGGCCAGCGGTGGGAGGGCTGCGGAGAGCGGAGGGGAGCCCTTGTGGAGGCTGGAAAAGCCAGTTTGCAGGGTCCTCGGGGTGACTCTGGTCCCTTCTACTCCCAAAACCTCCCTCTCAGTCCTCCCGGGTCCTCCTCCACAGAAGAACCGTGGAGGAAGGGAAGATGGCCATGAGCTAGGATGGACCTGGGAACTGGGATCCCTCCAAGCTTAGCCAAGGGCCAGAAGGACATTCCTGGGGGAACCTGGGGGCAAAGAAGCGGAAGTCGGGGAGGCAGGCCATCTGTGGGGGCCAAGCAGATGGCTGCGGTGGGCAGGCCTAGAGGGGAAAGCCCAGGCCTCTCCCTTTGACAGTCTCAACACCGATGCAGGGCTGGCTTACACTCAGGGACAGGAACCAGTGCTATGCTGATGTCCTGAATGAAGGGACCATGTATTGTTCTCTGTATGAAGCTCCTGGCACTGAGCAGGGTTCTCTGAATTGGGCAGGTGTTTGTGCCCCAGAATGGGGTCCAGACCTGAGCTGCAGGGCCTGAGGTGGGTGTGAAGGGCCTGGGAAGAGAGTACTTCCAAACTCCCAGGAGTGGAATGAGTGGGCTCTGCTCAGATCAGCGAGGCGGAAGAGGCAGGGAGAGGGACCTTGGTGCAGGCTGAGCCCGCAGTGGAGAGCCATTGAATGCCATGTCTCTCGGTCTACTCTCTTTATGTAAAAACAATCCAATCTTAGACTCTAGTCCCACCCACGGAGGTCAGCGGGGAGCTGGTGTCAGCTCACTGATGCCCTCGGCACCAGTAAACGGGGACCAGCCAGGCTGCCTTCTGGGGAGCGGGAGCTCTCAGCCCGACCTCCTGTGATTGAGGGCAGGAGCCACATATGCCTAACTCCATCGGCAGAGTCTTTGTACGTTTAATGGGTCACCCGAGAGCACCGCGGAGCCACGCATGTTTGCTGAGCGAATGGCCGTCTGCAGAACATCCTTGTCTAGAGTGACCCCTTCCACAAGCGTGAGCTGCCCCCGGCCCAAGTGAATCCTGCCTCGTGCAGTGGACTCCGCTGGCCCCCGTGCCAGCCGTCTGCCTTGCCCTGTGCCTCTGCCTCTGCCCTTGCAGGGGTGGAGGTGGTGGTGACCAAATGAGATAATATATGTGAGGGCCCCAGGAAATGGGAAGTTATTCAATTTGAATCCAACCAGCGCTCAGCAAGGCCTCCTAAGGTCACGGCTCCATGCTGGGCTGCTGGGGGCTACCGGTGTGAAGCTGTGACTGCTTCTGTGGGAATCACCGTACGCAGTGGGGGAAAACTCATTAAGACTAATTGGAGAGGAGAAACCTCAGGCATGCAGGCAAAAACGGTGCCTGTTCACTTCTAAAGGGAAGCAGCTTGGTGCCAGGCGAAGGACCAGACCTCAGTTTGAGTCCTGACATGCCACTTGGTGCCTAATTTTGGGCATGCTTTTTTTTTTTCCTTCTTTTTAAAATATATTTTTATTGATTTCAGAAAGGGACAGGGAGAGAGGTTTACAAATATCAACGATGAGCCCTAGCCGGCTTGGCTCAGTGGCTAGAGAATCAGCCTGCGGACTGAAGGGTCACAGGTTTGATTCTAGTCAAGGGCACATGCCTGGGTTGTGGGCTCGATCCCCAACTGTGTGTGTGTGTGTAGGAGGCAGCCAATCAATCATTCTCTCTCATTATGGATGTTTCTATCTCTCCCTTCCTCTCTGAAATCAATAAATATATATATATATTTTAAAAACCAGTGATGAAAATCACCGATCAGCTGCCTCCTGCATGCTCTCTACTGGGGATCGAGCCCGCATCCTGGGCATATGCCTTGACTGGGAATCTACCCATGACCTCTTGGTTCACAGGTTGACGCTCAACCACGGAGCCACGACGGTCAGGCTGGGCATGTTTTGTTGGACATTTTGAGTCTGTCTCATTAGGACTCCTAGGATCTCCAAGCTGTGTGAAGACGCCTGCAGCTGGCAGGAACTCGGGACTCGGCTTTGTGCCCTCTCCACTCCTCCAAAAAGGAGTCACACCTGAGCGGGGAGAAGCTCAGCAGAGTGGAGGCTGCTCTCCCCAAGCAGCCGGGACCCGTTTGACGTTAGCGGCATTATTTACACGCCACTCGCAACGTGTTAAATGCCGTTAACGTGCTTGTTTTCAGAAGTGGGTTAAACACGGACTCCTGTAACGCTGTTTACACGATGAGTTCATTCAGACAGCCATGTCTTCCCCGAGAGACAGAGGGAAACTGGTGTTGAACTGTCGCAACTCAAGTGAGTCAAGAGGAAAGCCGCCCGCGGGGATGGGGAGTGGGGCTTTTGGGAGACAGTGGGAGGGAGGTTGCCCTGGGTTCAGGCCTGTTGGGACTTAGCTTGGAGCCTCACCTTGGCTTAGAGACCTGGGGACCACTAAGATGCTCTCCCTGACTGTCCTAGTGACCCACACCCACCCTATAGAGCAGACGGACCTGTCTGGTATAACTGTCTTCACCCACTCAGGAGGCAGAGGGAAAGTTTTCTAAACTCAGAGTTTCTTGAGGTCTTAAGTGTGAGGGTGAGAAAGGGAAGGCATAGAAAGAAACGTACATCCAAGATAGAGATGGTTTATTAATCATTGTAACAAAAATAGATCTATATATACATGTATATATGCAGAAATAATGGATCAGAGGATATAAACCCACATATTCACAACCTTTATATAATAGGTGCTAGTATTAAGGCTGAATTTTCTTTTTTTTCTTTTTAATTTAAATTCTTTTTTGTTAAAAATATTACATGAGTCTCTTTTTCCCCCCATTGACCTCTCCTTGGCTGTTTCTACCCCCCCCCCCTTCTTCTTTTTGTAAAAATTCATTTTTAGAGAGAGAGTAAGGAAGAGTGAAACGATTGTCTGCCTCTCATACACGCCCCAACTGGGGATCAAACCCACAAAATCTAGGTTTGTGCCCTCCCCGGGAATCAAACCCGCCACCTTTGGTGTACAGGACGACACCCCAACCACCTGAGCCACTGGGCCAGGGCTCCCTTTCTTCTTCACACTGCTGTTTACACCGAGTGTGTAGCCTGTTCACAATAAGGATAAAAACAACGATGCTGTCTTCATTGGGAAATCAAGGCACCACCAATCTCCTGCATTGTCACCAGGACTGTGGCTTTTGCTCCAGGCTGGGGGGGTGGGGCTGACGATGTCCCTTCCTCAAAACCAGGAAGAGCCAAGCTGGGGCTCCCCACCAGGCCCCCTCCTCCTCGTCATCCCTCCTCCATCATTAGACAGAGCCCTGTTAGACTGGGGGACAGGGAACAAAGCCCTCCAGCCACCGGCCTGCGGGGAGGGTGTTATAAACTGAGTGGGGGGGGGGGGACGACGATGATGGTAGCACCTTTAAAATAGCAACACATTAACACTCACAACTGTATATATACATGCCGAGAAGCTGAATGTAACAGGAGATTAATAAGAGTGTGAGTAGCAGGATGAATGATGGAGAGGAGAGCTAGTGAGGAAGAGGGTGTTGGCGTTAATTGCTCCGAGCTGAGGAAGGCAGGCAGGGCTCCGGGTGCCGGCTGCTCCAGGACCCAAGAGGGGACGGCGGTCAGGACGCCTTGGCAACGCGTCTCCCAGCTGACAGCGCGCCCCTAACCCTCATCCGTTCCCTCTGGCTCCGAAGGCTGCCAGGCTGTGGGGACGGGAGGGGGCTCTGCAGGCCGGTGGGTGGGGGAGGCAGGGAGGAAGGAGACAAGTAAGGCTCGGTCCCACTGTTCTCTTCCATGCATCTCCCATCTGTCATCAGGATTCCTGCGATGCTCGGAAGTACTCCCAGGTCCTCGGGTCTCTGCCCACCTTGTCACTTCCTACTTCCTGTTTTCATCTGTCACTGCGGCTGGGACCATCCCTGTCCCCAGTGCTGGTCACCGGGGGCGGTGAGGGACTCTGCGAGCCTCTTCAGGGTGCTGCTGGGGAGGCGGGCGATGCGGCTGCGGCGGGAGATGGCGGAACTGAGGGCGGGAAGGGAAGGAGGGGAGGTAGAAGGTCACCGCTGTGCCCCTGGATGGGTGGGCCTGGGGGGCTGGGCCTGGACACCAAGCCTCGAGCACCCACAGTTCTCCCCAGGCCAGATGTGAGGGTGAGAGGGGTGGGGGCGGGGAGCTCTGTGGGTTTGGGAGGGGAGCAGAAGTGAGGGGCTGAGCAGCCCATTCCCCGGATTAACCAGTGAACACTCAACGCCTCTCTCATGAAGAGGGGGCCTGAGGCCTTGAGCCAAAGAAGGTAGCTACCCTTCACCTGTAGCAGCAAGGGCCAAGGGAACCTCAGTCAGATCCAGCTGCTGGCCCTGCTCACGGCACTCCTGCTCCTGGCTCCCAGGTGTCCAGGCACGTGGGGGCCTGCAGTTGGCCCACGTGTCCACGCCCTGGTGAAAGCTTCTCTCCCCCAACCCTCCCCCAACCTTCCCCACCTCACCTCACCACGCGCCTCTTCTTGCGGGCTGAGGCCTCAGGGAGGGAAGATGCTGGCTTGGGGCCCTTCGTGGTGAACAGGGGTGCGGGTCCACTGCGGGAGGGAGAGATGGGGGAGGCAGGTCAGGGGGGAAGCAGGAGGCCCGGCGTGGGGGGCGGGGAGGCTGGACAGGACGACCTCTGAGGCTTCTTCCTACTAAAGCGGCGGATTCCTCTCCCCGCCTCTCGGCCCGGGCTGACAGCTGAGTGACAGGCCTGCTCTGGGAGGACATCCAGGTGTCAGTTTCTGGTGTGTCCAGGGAGCTGGAGTTCAAACGATTCCACCCCTCCACCTGCCCGCCCGGAGCTTGTTACTGAGCGGGCGGTTCGGGCTGTGGGGGAGGCGGGGGCGCCTGCCGCCCTCGGCCTCACACAGCCAGGCGTCTGCCACTTGTTCTTGCCCTTGGTCTGTCCTGAGCTGGCTGCTGTCCCCCTATTCTGACATGCGGTGGAAGGTGCGGGTAAGAGCTCCATCTTCTCTGAAGAACGCCGAATAACGTTTTCTGGGGATCCCCCTCCTGGTTCCACATGCCAGGCTAGACGGTAAAATCTGGGGGCGGCGGCGGCGGCAGATAGAAGTATTTCTCAGGGGCACGCAGAACTCCCATGGGGCAAAGGACCCAAGCGATGCAGACGGACAGGGAGGGCTGGACTGCCCTCGTGCATTCCTGCTCCCTGCTCACCCTCCCCAGGTGGGGTCCCCTTTGTAGCTCCTCATGGCGTGCCCCAAACCAGCAGAGCTGGCAGCCCTGAAATAAACAGACAAGGCCGGGCCCCTGAGAATAGCAATGGCTCCCCGAAACGGAGTGACCTGGCCAGGCCGAAGGGGAAGAGACAGCAAACGTCCAGGCTCCGAGAGCAGGGCTGTGTTTCACTCCTCCAGGCGGCACCCGTCCCTCGCGGGCCCCTGGCTCCCCGCTGGGAGGGGAGACTCACCTGGGGCCGAAGGGCTGATCCAGCCTGTGCGGGGGCACGTTCTCCCAGCCGGCGCGTCCATGGCAGCCCAGCTGGGAGGGGGCCTCCTCGGAGAGGTCGAAGGTGATGTTGAGGTTCCGCGCGGGCAGGGCCAGCGGGGTGGAGCAGTTCTGCAGGGCGGAAGGGCCCAGGGGCACCCGGCTTTTGACGACCGTGGCTGGGCAGAAGCGAGGGGAGTGGCAGGGGGAGGAGCCCCTTCCCTTTTTGGGGGTGGTGGGTCCGAGGGAAGGCTGAGTCTCGGGCAGGGACCCCCTTCGCAGGCAGGGCAGGAAGGACTGGTGCTGGCGCTTGGTCCCCAGCCTTGGGGCCTGTTGACTGTCCTGCTCTGAGGGGCTCAGTTTCCTTCTTCTCTTCTTCTCCACGGACGGCAGAGATGCCTGGGCAGAGGTGCCGTGGGGCTCGGGTGGCGCCCCCACACTGGGCACGAGGCCACTCAGCTGCCTTGCCATGGTGCGGGTCACAGGGCCAGAGTATCCTGGAAGCTCTGGGTACAGAGAAGGAGGGCGTTGAGAGGAGATCAGGGACTGAGCAGAAAAAGTAAAGTTTCTGGAATTTGCAGGGAGACGTGCAGGAGAGATGCAGGAGACCCTAACTCCTCAGCTCTGTCAGGTCTCCTGGGGCCTCTGCACACCCTCTGATCCCAGAGCTACCCCTCGGCACCGGCTGGCTTTGGAGATGGCACCAAGAGGCAGAGGCAGAGCAGGGGCGAGACTCACTTGACTCTGAACATGGCTCCTGAGCCGGAGGTGCCTCCCTGGCTGGGCCAGGAGTCCTGGAGGCCTCGGCTCCAGGCCCGGGTTCTTCCTCTGGCATCAGCTGCTGCAGGGTCTCGAACTCTGCGATCATGTCAGGGGTCAGGAGGTTGGCTGCCTGGAGCAGGGAGTACTGCCGCCGGGCCAGGCTCAGCACCTTCAGCACCAACCTGGAACAGAGAGAGAAGGGGATGTCTGTCCTTTTTTCCCAGGGTCCTCTCTGCCACGCACCGGTCCCCACTGCTCCAGGTGTGGGGAGGAGCTCAGGTGGGCTGCCTGCCCCACCCTCCCAGCCAGGGCTCCCGCGATGCCACCTCCCTGCTGAAGAAGGGTTGGCAGAGATGGTCACAGATAATGGTGAGAGGCTTCACCCACCGAAACCTGCCTTCCGACAGACAGCGACCTAGGAAGTAGGGGAAGGGCGCTATGTGGCCTGGGACTCAGCAGGTGCAGTGATCTTGAGTATGTTCATTTACCGGAAGGGCAATGAAAGGCAGCGGTGAAGGTGAAGAGCCAGGCTCAAGTCAGACTGCCAGCCTGGCAGCTCAAACCCCTGTCCCACACTTCCCACCAGCTGAGCTGGGACCACTGCTTACCCCCAGTCTCCACTTCTTTTAAATGGGGACAACCCACCTCATCAGATTGTTGGGAAGATGAAATGAATTATTTTATACAGAGAGTGTTTAAAGAATACCTGATGCCCAGCTGGTGTGGCTCAGTGGTTGAGCACCAACCTAGGAACCAGGAAGTCAGTTTGATTCCCTGTCAGGGCACATGCCCGGGTTGTGGGCTCGATTTCTAGTGTGGAACAAGCAGAGGCTGCCAATCAATGATTCTCTCCCGTCATTGATGCCCGCCCCCCCTTTCTCTCTTCTCTCTGAAATCAATAAAAACAACAATAATAAAAACACAAACCTGGCATATGTACTCAAGAGTGAGCACTATAGCCAAAACTGGTTTGGCTCAGTGGATAGAGCGTCGGCCCGTGGACTGAAAGGTCCCAGGTTCGATTCCGGTCAAGGGCTCATACCTTGGTTGTGGGCACATCCCCATTGGGAGGTGTGCAGGAGGCAGCTGGTCGATGTTTCTCTCTCATCGATGTTTCTAACTCTATCCCTCTCTCCCTTCCTCTCTGTGAAAAAATCAATAAAATATATATTGAAAAAAAAAAGTGAGCACTATAAAGTTAGCTAACTATTGTTTCCTGTAAAGCAGAAATAATGCCATCCACCTTATTAGGATACGAGGAAATGAAATAAGACAGGCTGTGTGATCTGGGTGCTGAGAGGGCCCCTAAAAATGCCTTCAGCCTGTGCTTTCTATTGCATGGCTGGGATGCTGGAAGAGTACGCGTGAATCAATGCACACTTCACAGGCACTGAGGGGCTACTTAAGGGAAATTATGAGTGTAATGCAATTATTGATGTTGTAAATTTAAATTCTAATAAAGCAAATTTCCTTTCTGTCAGGCACACCTCCGATAAGAGAGAAAACACAATTATCTCGGTGGGGATTATTCTTGGCCAATAATTTGTCCTCAGGTAGCATCATCTCCTACCTGCCCGGACCCCCCTGCGCCGCCCCCTCCGCCCTCCGTGTGTGCCCAGGGAAGCCGGGCTCATTTTCTAAAGCAGCCTCCAGGCCTTTTTGAAAGAAGGCAGGATATAAATTAAAAAGGACACAGCGGAAATTCATCCCATATCCGCCGGAGCCACACACGCTCGTATAAAGATCAGACTGTTAGGGAAAGTGGCTGTTTGGGAGGAACGGACTGGCCAGATGTCAGATGAGCAGGTCTGGCCCCATCCCTCTCGCCGTAGTTGTGTGGCCCCGGGACCCCACCTGACAAATAGACGCTTGGTCTGTGTCAGGGGTTTTCCAATCAGATGGGAAGATACCCATCTGAGGACATTTTAAATGGAGCAACTCTGCCTTATCCGTTCCCCATGTCAGACGTCAGCGTGAGATTTCACTTGAAGGACTCTGCAGCAATAAAAAATTCTGAAAACCACTGAACTGGAACATCTTAAGATTGATTCCGTACCCTGGTGGTCTCAGATCCTGAAGTCTGAAGACAGAGAGGAATTATTTTTGATGATCTGATGGTTAACGGTTTTTTTTCAAGTATGGAGGCGATCAAGAATGTTCTGCAAGCTCTAACCCTTGGGGTCTCCTGTCACATTTTATTTGCACTTCAGCTCAAAGGCGTAAGGGGAGGATAATGAGGGCTACGATCTCCAGATCACAGCCACACGAATGAAGCAACAAGGCCAGAAGCGAGAACCCAGGTGTCCTGGCTCCTCGCAATGAGGAGCCTGGCAGAGAGACCCCGAGCTGTAAGTGGGAGCCTGTGGCTGTTCCCTGAGCTCGAGGGGACGTCATGCCCATGCGTCCCTGCCACTGCTGGGCCCCAGGGAGTCGGCAGCAGGAGGCAGATAATAAGCCGCTGATTATTCAGGCTGCGGCATTTTTTTTTGCTGAGTTGAAAACAGACACTCCCCAACAAGAAATAAAATTAAACAGGCCCTTCTGTCTGAGAGCTTTAAATACACCGCCTAGCATGAAGCGTGCTGGGGAGGGCAGAGTGGGGTTGGCGGCAGCAGAGCTAAGTGGCAGGGGATTTATGTTCCGGGGGGCCAAGGGAGAAAATATTAGCAGCACCTCTCTATTAAGCACAGAAATAACGGTCTGAAATCTATCGCTCTGGCGTTGGGGGGTGGTTGGTATTTACTTCTGAGAAGAAACAGCGACGGCAGCCTGTGGGTGCGGAGACACGGCAAACACCGGACTCAGGAAGGCTGCCCCTCCTCAGCCTGCCACCTGACTTCCCTCCTTGGCAGCTCCCTTCTTGCTGAGGACGGGTGGCGTGGTCCTCAGACTGGAAGGCAAAGCATGAACCCGGGGCCCTGCCCTAACGCGGTGCTGGCCAGCTATTCCGATGGAATTCGGTGTTTTGCTTCCCCTTTGTTGGTCTGCCAGCGATGTGGAGGTGTAAACAGAGAGAGGATAAATAAATAGAATAGGTGATGATAATATCAAGTTGGTAAAAGCAGATAATGGCCAGCTGGCTTGGCTCAGTGGCCGAGCATCGACCTAGGAACCAGGAGGTCACGGTTTGATTCCCGGTCAAAGGCACACGCCTGGGTTGCAGGCTTGATCCCCAGTGTGGGGCATGCAGGAGGCAGCCAATCAATGATTCTCTCTCATCATTGATGTTTCTCTCTTTCTCTCTCTCTCCCCCCTTCCTCTCTGAAATCAATAAAATTTATTAGATTTTTAAAAGATGCAGATAATGGACATTGCTGAAAAAATTTGACTCTTAACTAGAGCAGAACCAGAGCTTTTGTGATTTAGCACCAACTCCCACCCCAGGAGGCTGGGACCCATCTCTCCCTCCCTGGACCCCAGAGAAGAGTAAGAGGATACCCACTGCCTGGAGCGGCCCCTTTCCAGGTCCTGTGGCGAGAGGTGGCCCATGACTTGCTTGGCCTCCAGGGCCAGGCCCGGGGACTCCAGCAGTGACTGTCGGGGGCTCTGTGCTGACACCAGGACGGGAACCTGAAGAGGAAGGAAGTCATCAGGCAGCGGGTCCGTGACGACCTCCCTCCCTAGGTACGCAGCTTCTAAAATCCTCTCCCTCTGAGAGAGGGGATGGCAGCTCCTGGAAGGTCCAGTCCTCGCCTGCCTTTCCTTCCTCCCAGTCTCCATCCTCCCTGCCTGCCCTCCTGATAGAAGCACACCCTCCTCATTTCCAGACACACAGGCACCGACAGAATAGCTCTCCTCAGACAGGACCCGAAAGCCTCCAATGACTAACATTCGACCTCCAGGTAGAGAACCTGGGCCCGAGGGGACTCCCTGAGTCGGAAAGGGATTTCCTCGAATATCCTACCTCCTTGGCCGGGCCTCTGTCTTTGTCAGCTGAGGGCTGCTCCTGGTCCAAAGAGTCGCCTTCCCTGACCCTTTCCCCTTGGGCCCCTGCCCCCAGGCTTTCCTCCTGAAGGACAGCAGGCCCCGAGTGGAACTCTGGGGTGCAGGGCTGGCTGGGAAGAGGAGACGGTGGGGAGGAGCTGCAAAGGCTAAGGGGGAAAAGAGAGGGTTAGGGGTGGGAAGTAGGGGCAACTGGGGGAAGCAGGAAGGGGGCAGGAGGTACAGAGCCCGGAAGGATGGATGCTTGGGTAACCAGTGAGCAGTAGCTGAGGGGGGCAGGAGGAGCCAGAAATTTTCTGGTTTAGGAAACAAGGACACCGACCTCTTAACTGCACCTTCTTTTGAATAGCAGATGCTGCCTGTACAGGTGGGGGTACCATTTACTCATTTGACACTGAGCATTGTGGGTGGGGGTCAGTGTGCCGGGCACCGGGTGGGAACCCCTAGCTCCAGTGTCAGAACGGAAGCAAGGAGCCCTTGCCCCCCAGAAGTGAAGGAAGGGGGCCTTTCCCTGCCCAACTGGAGGCTGAGGCGGGTGCAGGCCGCAGGACTCACGGAGGCTGTGGAGGGCCCGATGTGGGGGGCCGCGGGAGGTCCTGTTGTGGGGCCTGGGCTCCCGCCTCGTACATTCGAAGCTTCTCCCTCAGACTGGCCACCTGGAACCCAACCGCCAGTTTCTCAGAGTCCCAAGTGAGCAGAGGAGGCAGGAACACCGAGTCCTGGCCGCACCCCAATGCTCCGGTCTCCCGTCCTCCCCCCCACCGCGCCAGGGGGCCCTGCCTCCCAGCCATGCCCCCCGGTGGGCTCCTCACCTCGGCCTGGAGCTGCTGGCAGACAGTGGCGTACTGGCTGATGTGACAGTCCAGGCTGACCACGTTGCTCTTCAGCTGGGGAGGAGATCGGTTTGTTCATTCACAGTAGCTCTGAGCTGCCCCTGCTAAAGGCCAGGCACCTCACCCACATCCCCGTGACTCACACTCACCACGGGGGAAACGGGCTTGGGGAGGTCAGTGGCTCGCCTGAGACCACAGCCGGGGGCAGAGGCTGCCCCTGAACCCAAGACCCCTGACTGCGCTCAGCAGGCAGCCCCGGGCGAGCGAGAGGCAGGGGAAGCCAGAGCCGCTCTGCCCTTATCTGTGTCACGTGTTGGTGTTCATATTGTTTTGCTGCTAAAAGCAACTCAGCCTCGCCCTCCTGCTGCCTCCCTCTAGAGGCCATTCTGCCTCAGTCGTCCGTCCGATGCCGTACTTTACTCTTTTTTTCAAGTCGTGGAGACCATCCTGCCTCTCCCCCACGCCAGGTCTTCCCGAGGACAGGGGCGGGGTCACTTCTACCAGTTTCCCTGGATGTCTCCCCTCTGCCCGGTGGGGATCCTCGTTCCACGCCCCGAAGGAGGCCTGTGGTCCTGCCCCCTCCTCCCGGCGGGCCCCCCCAGCTCCGGCTGCACGCACCGACAGTTTGATCTCCTTGGCCCGGTCGGCGTACTTGAGGGTGTTGTACGTGTCCTCGTACGTCAGGCCGGAGGGGCTGATGGCGGCGATCATCACGGTGCGGCAGTTGCCCCCGATGGAGTCCTTGAGCAGCCGGGTCAGCTTGCTGTCCCGGTACGGCACGTGGGACTTGCGGCCCTGGTGGGCAGTGAGCGGGCCCGGGTGAGGCGGCCGGGCCGGGCACAGCCGGGCCGGGCCCTGGCCGCCTCTGGCCCCGGGGCCGAAGGGAGGAAGCCTTGGCTTTGGGCCCCCGGTGGCTGTGTTGTGGGGAGCCCTGGGCCTGGGCAGCCTTACCTTGGCGTCGGCCAGGGCGTTGAGGACGTTGATGAGGGCCAGCAGGGAGCGGTTGATGTTGGCGCCCTCCCGCAGCCGCTCCCCCTTGGCGTGGGTGCTGGACGCCCGCTCCGAGCCGGCCAGGTCGATCAGGCTCATCTTGGCCACCTGGAGGGCCTGGGTCAGCCCTGGAACCCGGTCCTGCTGCTTCACGAAGATCTGGGGGCAGAGGGCTGGGGTGAGCGGGGGGGTAGCTGGGCATCAGGAGCCCCGCCTTCAGGCTCCGACCCACGGCCCCTCTCACCTGGAAGATGGCGTGGGAGCGGGAGGAGGTGGCGTTGGCGTCGGTGGGGTGCTGGGTGCGGTTGCGGTTTCCCCGGGTCAGCATCTCCAGCAGCTGCTCGGCTGAGCTTGGCTGCAGAGGAGAAGGCCGGGAAGGGAGCTGTGGCTTCCCCCTGGTGTTCAGAGCCCCAGTCACCAGCACCGCCAGGGGGTACGGGGCACCCCCAAGCCGCCGGGCGAGGGAACTCTGCAGGACCCACAGGCCTGTGCGTGAGCCCACGCCTCACCTGGTGGAAGGAAAGTCCCTGGACCACCACCCCCTTGTCGGGATCTTCTCGGATGGCCAGGGGCCCCTTGGGCTCCAGGAGGTCGTGGATCTGCTCGTTGTACACCTGAGGGGAGAGGGAGCAGGATAGACCTGGGGGACAGGGCCCTCCGGAGGGCTGAGCTTCTGGGCAGGGGGAGCGGGACCGCACACCAGAGGGGAGCGGCGCTTTGCGAGCTGGGATGGCGTTCAGTGACGGAGCAGGTTTAGTTCACACGCAGTTTCTGTCTGAGCTGTTTCTGTGTCTTTCCTCTGGGCTCTCTCTGGGCCCTACCTGCCCCCTTCCTACCACCCTGTCCCCCGGCCTCTCCCCCGTGAGGTGGGGTGAGAAGGAGGGAGGGGCCGCCCGGGCCGGGGAGGGGACAGCCTACCTCCTGGTAGCTGATGAGCACCTCGAATCGCTTCTCCTCCTGGCGGGCCTCCAGCCGCCGGTACAGCTCCATGGTGGTCAGGTACATGATGCCGGGGTCCCCCTCTCTGCCCAGCATGGTGTGCGTCTTCCCGGCCCCCGTGGCCCCGTAGGCGAACACTGCAGGGCCCAGGGAGGGGAGTAGGGTGGTGACAGGGCCAGATCCACCTTCTCTAGTGGCTCCCGCTGTGCATTCCATCAGCTCACCCTCCCCAAGCCCCTTCCTTTGCCTTCCACCTGCTCCCAATCACTCACCTCCCGCCCCATGTTTGCACTGCAGCTTGGGGTCCCCCCTCTACGCCCCGGCTTCCCAAGTCCAGGGCAAAGGGGTCTGCATGATGGGGGTGCTCCTCCCTGCCACAGGGACCCTCTGCTCTGCTGAAGGCCCAGGGCTGGTTCCCTCCATTACTCACCTCAGTTTATAACCACACACTGTGAGTGTGATTTGGATCAGTGTCCACACACACACACACACACACACTGTAAGTACAAGAGGACAGAACCATGTCTGTCTGATGTGCTATGTATCCCAGGCCCAGGAGAGGACCTCGCACACAGGAGAAGGTGAAGGGGGAGCCACAGAGAATGCCCGGCTGAGGGGGAGGGGACCCCGCCAGAGGCGCAGACCCCGGAGGGGACGCAGGGAGGAAGGCAGCGCCGGGCCGCTCACCGGAGCAGTTGAAGCCCTGCAGGAAGCTGTCCAGCAGGCGGCGGGTGGTGTGCTGGAAGATGTCCTGCTGGCTGGCCGCCTCGCCGAGGACCCGGTCGAAGACGAACGTCAGGTCCTTGCCCTTCTTCCTGGGGCCCTCGTGGACGCCGCCCCACTTCAGGCCCACGAAGCCCCCGTCGGGCTCTTCGGGGTCAAACACCAGCACCCGCTCGTCCACCACCTGGATCACGGGCCTCCGCTGGCTCTCGAGCTCCCGTGGGGTCGGGGGTCGAACCCGAACCACAACCTGCACCGCGCTGTCCTCCACGGCCATCACCATGGCAACACCTGGGCAGAGACACCGTGGGTATGAGGACCGACCCGACCCCAGGCTGCAGAGAAGATGACCAGGAAGGGAGGCATGCCCCCTCCGTCTAGCATTCCAGGCCTCCTTCCACCCCCACCCTGACAGCTGGTCTCTGCTTTATACCTCAACAGAGTAAGAATATTGGTGCCAGCATCAATTATTATTATTTTTAAAAATATATTTTATTGACTTTTTTTACAGAGAGGAAGGGAGAGGGATAGAGTTAGAAACATCGATGAGAGAGAAACATCGACCAGCTGCCTCCTGCACACTCCCTACTGGGGATGTGCCCATAACCAAGGTACATGCCCTTGACCGGGATTGAACCTGGGACACGAGTCCGCAGGCCGACGCTCTAGCCACTGAGCCAAACCGGTTTCGGCAGCACCAATTATTAATAAATAGCTCTTTCCCACTTGAAATGCCATGTTTGTCGTATCCAGATGACTGTGTTTTTTTTTCAGAGGCCCATTGCTGGGCTTTCTGTAATGTTCCACAATCTGTCTGTTCCTGTGCTAACACCACACCGTTCCCATCCCATGCTTTTACAGAATGCTTTTCACCTAATAAAGCAAGACCGCCCTCACCCTCCACTAGCCTTTCCTTTTCATGATGTTCTTGGCTATAGTCAGACACTTATTGTTCTATTTGACTATAGGAAAATCTTATCCATTCCATCCCCAACCCAGAACACATCCCATTCCTCCCCCCACAACAACAAAACACCTTACTGGAATTAAAAACGGAATGGTACTACATTTACATATTCATTTTATATTAAACCTTTTCATGCAAAAACATGGCTCCTGCCTTTCTATTTTGTTCAGATATTTTTTTATGTCCCTCAATAAGATTTTATAGTTTTCTTTCTCTTCAGATAGCTCTGTAATTGCCCTTTTAATGTAATTCCCGAGAACTTTATGGACTTAATCACTCTTATGAATGGAACAGCTTCCCCCATGTCTGTTTCCAGGTGGCAATTGCTAGTATGGGGAAACACGAATTGATTTTTATACATCTGCTGTATAGCCACCACCCTCAAACTCTCCTATTAATTCCAATTGTGTGTGTGCTTTTAAATTAGGGTTTATTGGGTTTTTCAGAGTATGCAATTATACATCAGAAAAGAAATTTTTTTTTAACCTTTTTTCTCTATATTTATAGCAAATATTTTATTTCCTGTCTACTGCAATCCCTAGAACTTCCACAACAATGTTGAATAATAATGATGACAATGAGCATCTCTGTCTTGTTTTTTATTTTAAAGGAAATGACTTTGGTGCTTCAGTACTCAGAAATTATTTTTGGATATGTAGCCATTATCATAGTAGTAATTTTTTCTACTCTAATTTTACTTAGGGTGGTTATTAGAAAGGTCTAAAATTTTACCCAATGCTCTTTCAGCATCTCCTAATATGTCTCTTCACCTTTATTTTGTTGAGGTAGTAAATTGCTTGATAGTATTCCTGGTATCAAACCAACCATTCTTAGAAAAAACCCTACCCTGACCATGCTGAAGCTTTAAATTTTTAAATCATCTAATGCGTCAAATTTTCTTTTATGATTTTTGTCATATTTAAGAAGACATTACTTCCCCATGGTAATAAATACTTCTATTATATTTCTATCTAATACATTTTATTTTTAAAATTTAGGTATTTATAAAGTTGGATTTATTTCTTTGTGAATGGGTATGTGGTTTCTAGATTTCTTTCCAAATGGTAAGCAATCGTCTCAAGATCATTTATTAAAAACTGTATTTTTTCTCCTAGGATGCCTCTGATTTTATTGTGAACTCTTATTTCACCCCTACCTTCAAAAGTATCATTCTGAAATGTGCACAAGCCAGGAGATACAATTATGAGTGGGCTATTTAAAGTAAGTCTGCTACTTGAAAAGCAAGGGTGCTTATTCAATGAAAATATTTACTGAGCATATTCTATATATAATATAAGACATTGTTTTTGGGCTGTGCAAGGTAAAAAGATGAATACGTAAGATAAAGTTTTGGTCCTTGGGAAGCTTACAGAAGACAAAGGAAGAGAAAACTGTAAAAGTAATTACTCAATGTAAAAATAATTACTCAAAAATAAAAAGCAAGTATTGCAAATGAAAAAAAAAACTGTATTTTTTTTTTTTAAGAGAGCAGGGAGAGAAGGGGGAAGGAAGAGAGAGGAAGAGAGAGAGAGAAAAAGAGAGAGAGAGAGAGAGAGAGAGAGAGAGAGAGAGAGAGAGAGAGAGAGAGAGAGAAAGAGAGATATCAACCTGCCATTCCACTAACTTATACATTCATTGGTTGATTCTTATATGTGCCCTGACCAGAAATTGAACTCACAACTTTGGTGTATCATGACAATTCTCTAACCAACTGAGCTACCCTGTCAGGGCTAAACAGTGCATTCTTTCTCTACCAATTTCAAGTGTCACATTTAACATAACTAAATTCTCCTAAGAACGTGAACTTGTTTGTGGACTCTCCACCCTGTTCTGCTGATCCGTCTGTTCCTTTCCCAATAACTCACTGTTGTAATTACTGTGGCTCTATAATACCTCACCTCATTGTTCTTTTTCTTGGCTATTCTTAAGCATCTTGTCTGCCATATAATTTTAGAATCAGCTTATAGAATTCTACGAAAAATCCTGCTAAGACTTTAATTGGAGTACTTTGAATTTATAGGTTAATATGAAGAGAATTGGCATCTTCATAATATTAAGTCTTCCCATCTAGGAACATAGTATCTCTTTTCATTATTCACAACTTTATAATCCTCAGTAAAATTTTATAGTTTTCTTCATTTGAGTTTTGTGTATTTCTTGACAGGCTTATTACCAGTTATTGTATAGTCTTTATTATATTGTGAATAGGCTCTTTTAAAAATTGCATTTTCTAATTCGTTTTGCCAGAACATAGGAAAGCAACCAATTTCAGTATGCAGATCTTGTATCTGGCCACATTACTGAACTCCCTTATTAGTTCTAATAGACTGTCATTGATTCTCTTAGGTTTTTCAATTAAATGATGGTATAGTTTGCAAATAATGACAGTGATTTTCTATTTTTAGCTCTTCTAAATTTAGTTCCCCACCCTTCACTGTCCATGAGGAATGGGTGTTAAGTTTTGTCAGATGCTTTTTTGGCACTAGCTGAGATGATCACAGTGTTTCTCCTTCAATTTGTTAATGTAGAGGGTGGCGTGAACAGATTTCCTGATGTTGACCTGGCAATAATTCCAAACACTTATTTGCTTATTCCCTCTCGCCTTCCCCTCGGACCTCTCTCCTTGTTTTTCTCATTTCTCCTTCAAGCCAGCCTACCAAGGGTAGGGATGGAATTTTTGCAATGCAGGAGTCACAGATTTCCTGGAAAAGTTCAACCCAACTCTAGGGGTATGTTAACAGGAGTAAGGGGGCTGATCCTGGGGAACAGGAACAAGTGAGTGCTTTTCCAGGTCCCGCTGACAGGACCAAGGTCATTCAGGAAAGAAAACTGGAATTTCTACCTAATACTACAGCAAAGAACTCATTTGTGGGTGTGGGGGGAGAGGGAGGGGAGGAGAATGAGGCAGAATTGAGCTGATTTGAAACTCCTGTCCCACTCAAAGGGTGGGGAACTAAATATAGAAGAGCTAAAAACAGAAAATCACTGTCATTATTTGCACACTATATCAAATACATATATATATATATATATATATATATATATATATATATATATATATATATATATATTTGATAGAGAGAGAGGAAGGGAGAGGGATAGAGAGTTAGAAACATCAATGAGAGAGAAACATCAATCAGCTGCCTCCTGTATCCTCCCCACTGGGGATGTGCCCGCAACCAAGGTACATGCCCTTGACCGGAATCGAACCTGGGACCCTTGAGTCCAAAGGCTGTCGCTCTATCCACTGAGCCAAACAGGTCAGGGCCCCCTCCAAACTTCTTAATTTCTCCCTATCAGCTAATATTATCTATCTATCTATCTATATATATATATTTTTTTTTCATATACATATATGAAGGGAGGAGATAGAAACATCAATGATGAGAATCATTGATTGGCTGCCTTCTGCACAGCCCCTACTAGGGATTGAGCCTGGAACCCCTCCAAGTGCCCTGACCAGGAATTGAACTGTGACCTCCTGGGTTTATGGGTCAACGTTCAACCACTGACCCACACGGCCTGGTCAATAATAATCTTTTTACATGTGTATAATTTTTTTCTTATTCCAGCAATTGGACTGCAACCGCCTACCCACTAGATGAGGGACTGTTTAAGCAACTTATGAGTAGAATCTCCTTTCATCTCCATATCAATCCCACAAAACGGATACTATTTCTTTTTGCTCCCCTCTCCCCGTCCCCGATACTATTCTTATACTCAATCTTCCGTGAGCAAATTGAGACTGAGGGGGTTAAGCAACTTGCCCAAGATCCCAATCTAGTAAGGGAGCCTTGTTCCAGCCCTGGCTGTCCTGACGGCAGTCTGCAAACTGCCTTGTAATGAATGCTACTATATATTATATTGTGCTCTCCCGACCACATTGTTGTGATTGTCCCTTATGTTTAGTAATAATTACAATCTCTTTTCTGTAACTAGCATAATGCATTATGCAAACACTCGCAGCTCTATGGACTGCCCCTAATTTTCAACACTCAGAGAGAATGCCCATCTCCCATCCTCGCCTCTCCATCCCCATAATCACCCTTCACCCAGGGAAGAGCAAGCAGCGGGTGCTTGGCCCCGCACTCTGGATCTGCATTGGCTGCCTTCATGGCAGTCCCAGCTCCCCACAGGGAGGGCTTCAGCTGAGCAGGAGCGACAGAGCAGCCTAACATTCTAAGCAGGAAATTAAAAAGGGCACTGGCAGCCGAGTGCGTGTAACCTTTACAGTTCTCTCCTCTCCGCTTCCTGAGGGCCAGTGAGGCAGGCTTTTTGCCTAATGAGATGTTTTCCTTCTTTCTGAGACAGCGCTG